GCTTCGTGAACCTCGCGCGCCGTTTGAAGCCTCGCTTCCAAACGCTCTTCTGACCGACCCCTGGCTCGCAATCCAAACTTTGCCGTTGTGCTGCTCGCAAGGCTAAATGCCCTGGATTAGCCGAAGGATTTGAGCCATGGGGGCCCTTCTAAGGGAGCATAGGGCACCGGGATTCGGTGGAATTTGGAATCTGCCCACTTTGACGCTTAGAACAAAGCAAAAAAGGAGGCCCGACTCAACAGGACGTTTAGAACAACGCAAAACGCAAGTTTTAAAACTTCCTCCTCCGCCGGTCTTTGGGTCGGTCGCCCGCTTCTCCCACCCTCCGCCGGTCCTTGGGTCGGTCGCCCTGTTTTTGCAGGATCCGCGTTGGTTCTCGGGGTGCCGGTTGCCCCGGGGGGTCCTTGGGTCCCCCTCCCGTGGGCCTTTATGCAAGCACATGGGGACAGATTCTAAATTCATCTAGGTTTTTCTAGTTGGGGGGGCTGCCCTGCTTGGTCCCTTCCTGGGACCCTGCAGGGGCCCCACAAAACTGATACGGAGTTACAGGTAAACTTAACAAATTTGTATTTTTCTTTCCTCGCTCACTTGCCCGCAGCCGCCTCAAGGGTCAGGAATCCTATCAGAGTGCCCAGCCTAGGTATGCACAGTAGGACACTCTGAGGCTGTACAGTCTGTACATGAACGAAGCCATGCCGCCAAACACCCACACCACCCGAACCCCACATCACCCCAACCACCCACATGACCCGAACCACCAAGACCGCCCCAAGCCGCCCGCCCCCTGAGCCACCCACGCTGACGAGCCGCCATCCGCACCGCCCGCCACCAGTGTGAAGGCCCCCCCCTCTCCCAAAAGGCTGCGAACTAGCCCTAAACCCTAAACCCTCATTAGCGTCATCCCTGCAAAGGGCGCCCAAATCCTCCAACTACCCCAAGCTGCCCAAGCCGAAGCCACCCAAGAAACTCCCTAAGCCCTGAGGCACCCTAAAATGGCGGGGGGTGGGGTCGGCGGCACTGGCGGTAGCCATTAAATATATATATATATATATATATATATATGAAACAACGATAGACCGAATGAGGGGCGGGTGAATTGTAACGTATAGAATTTCATGGTGGTGGACAGTAGTGACGTAGGTGTTTTACTTACTGTTCTGCTGTCTTAGGTGATACGAAATGCAGAACTGCACAATCGCATGCTGTTTTGCAACTTTTCGGTTGTTGAAGACTACGTGTGTTTGGTGCATACCTGATTCCAGTGATGAAGAATGATTGAACATGAAACGAATTGACATCGTGAGACTTAGACACGCCTTCAGCGTCGTCCAGAACCTCTCAAATGGAAAACGTGTCGCTCTCGGCAGAGGTCTCGGTGTCTTGCTGGCCTTTAGCACAGCAGACCTCGATCAACCACGATGGCGCGAGCATCTGGCGTGCCAGATCGGATGCCGTTTTCTTACGGTAATTTTGGATGTCTACTCGGGCTCGGGCTGACAGCAATGTGGACACAGAATCCAGCGAACCACTCAGAATGCTGAACATCAGCGGCGTAGCATCGTAATGATTGTATGCCAACAGAGTCAGCCTGGATGGGCTTACCCGATGCCTCACACCCATGGCGTTCATCAGAAGCCACCACCCGGGCTCCCGGATCTGTACCCGGAACTGATCATTCACATTCGCCCGTGCCGCGAGCAAAAGGGAAACCACGTCGGCAGAACCATATCCAGCGAACATGAGTGCGATGTGTAGGCAGTGTCGCAAGCTCAAATTTGGATTCAGAGTGAGCATCTCCTTCATGGCACGCCGACTTCCGCATGCACACGAAAGCATGAAAGGGCTCATTCCCGGCACAGACTGTTGATTTATGTCGGCACGAGCATAGCAGAGTAGACGCACCCCGCGTGGATTGTCCCCGGCACACGTGGTATGGAGAGCACTGCCACCAAAACCATCCTTGTAGTTGATGTGGGCTCTGGCGCACAGTAGCAGCTCAACAGCTTCATTGTTGCGGTGAAAGGAAGCAATTCCCAGAGCCGTCAGCTTGCCGGGAAGCTGGAAATCTGCCTTGGGTTTGGTCGTAGCCTGGTTGATATCCACCCTTCGGTCAAGAAGCGCTTGCAGCACCACGAGGTTGTTGCCCATCGCCGCAAAGCAAATGGGCGGCCACCCTCCATCGTCCCGCTCGAAGATGTTCCTGACGGTGGAGCACAAATTCGAGGACACCTATATGGAGTTATGAACTTCGCAACTTTGGGGGCTGAAGGTTTTGGGACGCTTTGGGTTTCTACGCGCCTGAAGCCGTTGTGATGCAGGAAACGCTCCAGCATGAAACCCTTGTAGTCAACATTCGGGTCGATCTCAGTGGAAAATCCCGGAATAAGACAGTCAATCGGCTCCACGTCAAGAGCGCGGAAATATGCCGCCGCGTGTGAGTTGAGAAGATACCGGTAGTTGTGAAATTGTCGATGCTCGAGGTAGTAGAAAAGCTTGGACCACACCATCTGCGTAACCATACGACCGATCCACACTCTGTCACTGTCAAGTGTAAACTCTCCTTCACCAGGTGCATCCCTCATGCACAGTCCTGCCCACATCAGTGTCTGGTGCGTGGCGCTCTCTACAAGCATCACGTAGCCGCCGCTGTACATGGAGAGTTCGCGTGCGGCTCTCTCTGTGCGACACCACCTGGATCTGGGTTGCAGGAAAGGGAACCGGCAACACCTAGGCGCAAAATGGCGTAAACAAGCGTATCGTCAAAGGCTTATGCCATTTGCAACTCAGCTACCCCCTTTCGCCCCAAGTTGCATGGCTCAACGTCCGCTGCTGGTTGCTGTGCTCCAAGGCCGGGCACAGCACGACAAAGAACTCGCACCTTGCCACGTACGCTGGGATGGTTTGAATGGCAACCTGGCGGCGCTGAGATGCGCGGCCACCGCTGCTCTGCGGGATGCTGAAGTAGTCATACCAGATGTGTAGTTGGCCGGATGCGAAGTCGCCGGGTGTAGGGCATCTTGTGCGACCATGCACAATTTCTGAGAAGATCGCCAGGGAAATGGTGCTGCTTCCGGCAGCGATGTTCTTCAGGGCATCCTGAAGAACTCTGAGCTGCTGGAAGTGCGGATCAGGATGGGCGTCACTCAGCCACTGGTGCGACACGAACATGGCCTTTCCCACGCGCTCATCAAATTCTTTCACCACACCTGCGTCCACGAGCTCCTCGTGCATCTTGACTTCTGTCATCTGCAGGAAAGCATCGGCCGGCACGGTGTACATCACAAAGGTGTCGGTACCTAAGCTTGAGACATTCTTCCTAGCTGACACACTTCTGTCCACAGGCTCCCTGTGCCCTTACAGCAACTTCTGTAATCCGACAACCCTGAACACGAGGCCGGACAAGTTGCGGTCTGAAGGCGCCTTCGTGCCATGCTGCTGCAACGCTGATGAGAACTGCACAATAGAGTGGCTATCCATGAAAATTGAGAAACATCAGAGCGGCCTAGCGGATGCTCCGGAAAAGGTTGATACACTCGGCAGCGGGACAGGCAAAACTGGCTAGACAACAAGCTCACAGCAAGGGAAGCGATGCTTGGGTGCTGTGCAAGAACCAAAGAGCGAACCCCTAAGTCAAAAAAATAATAACCAAAAGCCTAAACCCTATAAACCGTAGAGCCTAAACCCTAAACCGCAAATCCAACCCTTAGGTGGGGCTCCCTTATTCGCGCTGCGGGGTTTAGGGTTTGAGGGGAAGAAGCCTATGCAACGCAAAAGCCTGGAGCATCACCAGTACTACTTCCAGTACAGCATAGCATGATGTACCCCAAAATCCGATTCTACTCATTAAGGTTCCTTTCTAAATCATTAACCCTTATATGAAGCCTGGTAGTAGCCACCATAGCAACACTTATCCCCCGAGTTCCGGGGGGACTGGCGCATGGGCATGCTCTGCAATGTGCGCTTGGATTCCTTCCGCCTGAATCATGCGACAGATTCTTATGTACTGCTGCAAAGCTATGTACCTGATATTGTACTGTACTTGTTCACGACACTGTAGATGTTGCTGCTGACTGTATTCTGCTATGTTTGGCTTCGTGGTTGTGCTTCACCTTTCCAGATGCGTGGATCTTGCAGGGCACAATATCAAAAGTGATGCTGCCTGCTCATTAGATTGGGCGAAAGTTCCGTACTAATTGCTGTCGTCAAGAAATGGGTGTGTGCTCGTTTGGTGCTTGCTCTCGTTAAGAGGTGTTGGAAGTCCAGTGCCCTTGACTAGTTTTTTGTAAGCTACGTTGTTCCGTCGCATGAGCTCGGTCTAGGCAGCTGGAATATGAGTGCAACACATGAGAGGTTCAGCTACACATGCATGGACGACAACAAGCCACATCTTGCGGTCTATAATCTAAACAATACTTATTGCGCCTAGGCTGCGCTGCAGAGTTGATGGAACAGTCATTCACCAAACCATGTTTATGTCGCTGGCTGAGTTGCGTAGACAACGTTGAGACAAGTCAATGGTAGAGCAAGTTGACGAAGAGGTATTTGACTTTCCGCAGTGAATAGTTTAGCCTGAATAGCTTAATTTTGACTAACATCTCTGGAGGCGTATTTCCGAAGCAAACATATTAATTTCAACAACTTTGGAATGGCGGGACCATGCGCTATGACGAAAATCCTAAAGACAAGCGTCTGAGTTTCCGCTTAAAACACCTATGTTTGTCAAAGGCCATTTTGTTATGCTTTGTGCGCCATTTAAGTATCTACGGTTCTTGACTTCGGGGTACAGCGTACTATTCCTGAACACCCAAACCCTACAAGAACTCCAAAACCCATGACCCTAAACTCCTCAACAAGCTCCTTCTAACCTCCTTTTTCAATCTCCCCGACACCCTAAACCCCAGTTTTGCATCCAGGCCTCTGACCCTAAACCCCTTAACCCTAGGCCCTAAACCCCTCAACCCAAAGAAGCCTGTTGACCCCGAAAGTCAACTCGAAGAGTCCGGCAGTTTGTTGAGGGCCACGACCCCAGGCGCCGAGCCTGGACTCGGCAAACGCATTGGCTAGGGAACTTAGGGTTTAGGGTTTCGGGTGGGAATTTAGGGTTGAGTCCCAAGTAGGGGTTCGCAGTGCGAAGATGGATGGCAATGCTGTTTAGGCAGTTGGCGGGTTCGAGGGGGGGATCAGGTTGGGGTTCAAGTGCTTTAACATTTCGAGCTTCGGAGTTTGCACGCTAAGCCCTGAACCCTAGGCCGCAAAAAAAAAGAAGGATCTGAAACAAGATGCCCAGCAGCGGAGGATGCAGCCACCCTCAGACAGATTCTCGGTTGCCGGCGCTATTGATGCCTGGGCCTGCGCAGGGGGGCGGGGGGGGGGCCTTTGGGCCATCTAGAGCGCACTCTGGTGTCAGAGCTTGGAGAGGATTCGTTGAAAATCAAGACTCGCCAAATCCTAGGATGTTCAGGGAGCAGATTGGTCAGGGACAGGTTCGGATGTTAGGGTTTGTCTTTAGCCAGCCACTTGCAAGGGGCCTCCGGTCAACGGACCTCTAAAGCTTCGATAAACAAACCCTTTTAACCCAGGACTGCTGAACCCTCTAACCTAAACCCTACACTCTAAAGCTGGACTTGCGGGAGACACCCTTTTTGCCTAAACCCTGTAGGCCCCAGACCTCCCACAGCAAGCGGTAGTCGCGCAGGAGCTGCCATGCAGCGCTTTCCCCTGGGGCCGCTTTAGGGTTTAGGGTTTAGGGTTAGGGTTTAGGGTTTAGGGTTTAGGGTTTAGGGTTTAGGGTTTAGGGTTTAGGGTTTAGGGTTTCATGTTAGCTTTTCCCGTCCTGCATAGACGAGAGAAGGGCTTAGGATTTTGAGGGCGAGGTGTTTTGGTGGCGTGTTTAGGTCTGCTTGAGCTCTTCGAGGGGCGGGGATGGGGGGGGGGGGGGGGGGGGAGTCCGGGGGAGATTTAACGTATCCTCATTATCGCACTCTGCGCTTGCAACCTTGCGCCCCCACACCTATACACCCGAGCCCCCAAATGACGCTGGAGGGCATGTTTAGCCTGATGACTCAAAATTCTGAAAGGCGAGGATGGGACGGAGGAAGAACGGAAGATCATGTGCTTTGAATCCATCATCCATCGGAGAACGACGGAAAGCAAACTAAGAACTCATCTGAGGTCAGCTGCTGTACTTGCGCAACGCGTCTGCCACAGAGCCCACATGGAGGCCATCCGGGATCACCTGCCACCACCCCAAGTTGGGCTTGGACTTTGCAGGCGCTTTATCCTGTAGCCTTGTCGGGCTTCTGAGAGGGTTTGCATCAATGAAGGAGAGCGTGGCTGTGGACTGGATTTGGGGGGGGGGGGGGGGGGGGGGGGGGGGGGGCACGCCTGGCAAGCGCACATCTTCTGCAGCAGCAGCAGACCAGCTGGCCAGCTGTCGGAACCTTGGCACAAGCGCTCAGCCCGTTGGGTCTCGACACTTTTGAGGATGATAAGCGGGTCAATCTAGGAATCAAGTTCCAACTCTGCCCTAAACATCTGCTAAACCCTTTCATCTAACCCAACTTGGTTCTGCAGTTCTGCATCCACAATCGCCGGGCGCGGCATCTTCACAGCGGAAGAACCCTGACTCCGAAACACAAAATCCGGAACCTCAAATCCCAATCTGAGCACGTGGCAGGCCCCCACAGCGGCACCAAAAGTTTGCGCGTTCGGTGCCACGCGCTGGTTTTCCATTGCCTGCGATTTGCGGTGTGCTTAGGGTTCTACACATCCGACAAGAGCCATGTGAACAAGGTGAGGCTCGCATTGATTAGCAACCATCTTCTGCAGACCTACGTGGCATTCTTTCCACAAGTCGCTCACGTATGTACCTCCTTGCGCACACAGCGCAACTTCCGACAGGAAAGCAAAAACTTTAAGGCATGAGACTGTATCCGCAGTGAAACATCGTTGGCAACAAGCATGTGGTCAAACTACCTGAAGCGCTTGCCACCACCTTTGCCACATCCGCCTTTGCCGCCTTTGAAACCCGCAAATGCGCCATTATTCCTCGTCGTGGTGGAAGTAATCATCTTGCAGGCTAAAGAGGCCGGAGCACTGCCCTTGTCCCAGACGAGGCAAGACATCCAAACAGGCTCTCCGAGGTGGTTTCGGAATTCTTTCAAGGCCTTCAGCCGTCGATTCCCAAAGACGGCCCAGTATTCCTGCTCTGCCATCTCTATGAGGACCAGAGGCGTAAGGTCTGAAGGCTTGCGATTGCCATCGATCAAATCCTGGATTAGCGACTGTACCGAATGGCCTTTGTGCGACCCGTGTTGGAAATGCATATGCACGAGGTCATGTGTGTGGCGAATGTGCATCACATCCACGTCCTTCAGGTAGTTCTCGTAGTCTCGCAAGGCAGTCCTGTTCTCTGCTGGGTCATACTCCGAGTGTCGTTTGTCTGCCAGGAAGCGCACCAAGCATCCCATCGGGTCTCGTGACTGAAGCACGAGTCTGCATGCCAACGGTGCTGGAACTTCGCGACCAGCGCCGTCTTTGTCTTCGAAGACCACGCATCGGAGCTTCACCTCCCCGGAGGTCATCTTCTGGAATTTCTGTGCAGCTTTGAGATTTGCATTCCCAAACACTGCAACGTTTTCCCGTTGCAGCGGAAAGCGTATGACCACCAGTGGTGGGATATCGCGCAGCTGCAGCTTTCCATTTCTTAAGTCAGACAGCATCCAGTTTGCCGTCTGGTTTCCTTCTTCTGACGACACACCGATGTCTCGAACATCAAGCTCCTCGATCAGTGATTTTTGGTTGGCGCTTGGCCGCCCGAATCGTTCTGCCTCCCAGCTGATTCTCTTCAGCATTTCTCTGCGCACATAGCTGAGATATGACTGCTGGGAAGATGGCGGACTTCTGGGCCTGGAATCGTCTCGCCGCCTGTCGCGGGGGCTGCGGCTACGGTGCCTGGCCGGCCTGGCGAAGTCATCTCCGAAGTCTCCCAGTGCACGATGCGATGTTCGTGGCAAGCGCTGAGGCGGTGGCTGTATCCGAGACGGTGGCGGCCGAGGAGGAGGCCCGGGCGGCGGCCCAGGTGGCGGGCCTGGTAGAGCAAGCTGCCCGTCGGTCAACGCTAAGCCCGAATCCGGGGCCATCGTCTTGTGGCCGAGCTCGTTGCCTAATGTCCCACTCAGTTCCTTAGTTGCTGAGTTAAAAAAGTGTACACTTTCAGCTCTATAGGCGACTATAGTATCCCAAAAAGTGTAAAGTTTGCTCACTCAGCACCTAAGGTTCCCAGTACAGCTCATTTAGGACGCCTTCCAAAGACGACCCACTTGTGTCGTCTCGCTGCCATACACCAGGAGACCAGGTGCGGACCACAGTCTCAGAGTCCGCAAATTCCCGAAATATCCTCTTGCACCACTCTGCCATACAGTGCTCCCTCTGGTCAGGGCCCGAGCCCAAGTGGATGCTCTCGAGCTTTTTCAGGTACTTCTCCATCCTGTCGGCGGCTGCATCATCCCTCGGAGCACAACGCTCCGCCTCCAAGAGCCTCTTCAGGCCGCCCCGCTGGTACGGCTCTAGGGTGGGCAATGTGCTCTGAAGGTCTGATGTCGTCACGGCGGGGCGATCTATGGTGCTGAACTGCGGCGGCCCTCCGGGAGTTGACACCACGGCTGCTCCGCTGGAGGCGGCATTGGCAGGCAATGACGACTGCAGCGCGGTGGGGGCGTCACTGGAGCTGGCAGCACGTGAGTCTATCCTGCTGAAGATGGGTGGACCATGCCCCACTTCTTCATGCACAATTGCCAGTGCAGTTGCCGACCCAGGAACTGCGATGTCGGCATCTCCAGTGGCAGGAGCTGGGTCCATCATGAGCGCGGGCATGTCCACAGCATGCGGCCGAGTCTGGCCTGGAACAACCAGCCATTCTGCGAGCCAGGCGCCTTGCTGTACAGTCACAGGAGGCAGGTGAGCAGGTGGGCCAACTGGCGGGGCTCTGGGGCGGACTGGTGGGAAGAATCTCGGCCCAGAAGGGATGGGGAATGCATGGATCGGGTGCGGCAGCAGCGCGCTGGCGGCGTCACTGGAACCAGGATCTGAGTCCATCCTGCTGAAAGTTGGTGGACCAGGCCCAGCTTCTTCCTCGACCAGTGCCAGGGTTGCCGACCCGGGAACTGCGATGTGGGCATCTTGCTGTACAGTCAGGTGAGGTGGAGCTCTGGGGCGGGACGGTGGGAAAAAGGGCGGCCCAAACGGGGTGGGGAATGCATGGATCGGGAGCGGATGGGGATGGGGGGATGTGTCAAATGGCCAAGTTCGGGTCCGCTTCGGCCGTGGGGGAACCCGGGACATGAGCCACAGCGGCAGAAGCCTGCAGGTCACGACTGCTTCCCATGGAAGGTAGGGCTCTAGTTGTGTATTGTAATTGTTGGTGCCTGCATTGTAGTCTCTATGATGATTTACGTAACGGCGTGAGCTTCTGTGATGATTCGCGTCGGGATCATAAGGGGAGTCTACGTGACCAGATAGGTGGCTCTTGAATGCATCCGACACTAATCTTGATGCAGCTGCATATCGCCCTGGCCCAAAGATGGCTACGGCTGAAGGTTCTTTCAGCTCAGTCAAAGGCCCCGCTGTGAGCTGGCACAATTCTTCACACCAGGAGTTGGCAAAGCTCAGTTCGCCTTCATGTGAGTGAAGCTTTGCATGGAGGACGTTGCGAAGCATCTTGCCTCCAGGAGCTCGAGGACAGCCCGCCAGCGATTGGCTCCTTTTTCAGTGGGTGATTCTACTCCTGCACTGCGGTAGAAAGCAATCAGGGGCAGATCATGGCAGATCAATCCAGTGGGTCCAGCATGATTCGACTCATATGCATAAAGCCCCCCTAAACACATTTTTTGTAAACCCTGAACCCTGAACCCTAAGCCCTAAACCCTAAGCCCTAAGGCCTAAGCCCGAAGCCCTAAACCCTACCATCAAGGCCGCACCAGCACACGCGTCCATGGCACTGGTGCAAGCGACGACATCCTGGAACTGCAAAGCGTGTGGCTTTCCTCTCTTGGGTTTTGGTTAGGGTTTAGGGCTGAAAGGAACCTCCCAAGACAAAGAATGAGCTGCACGGTCCAGAGTCCTCCAACCCTGGCCCTACACTGCCCAAAGCCCGAGCACTAAATCAAGGCACTTCTGAGGTAAGGAAAGCATTAAACCTTCGCCCGTTCTACAACCTCAGGTACGCAACATCTTCTGTCCTGCGAAATTCGCGCCAGGGTCATATCACCTTGCGCTTTAGGGCTTTGTGATATGGGGAGTGAAACTGAAGGTCTCTGCAGGATTTGGGCTATTTCGTGGCGTTACCAGTGACTGCTGGAAAGGAGGGCCTAATGAATGCTGGCTGTGCAGCATGCCTCTGCCCGGTATGAAGGCGAAAAAGTCAAGAGCCTATCCTGGGAGCCTTGGCCTGAACACAGGAAAATGAGGAGGCACAAAAAACCCAACTGCACTGCAAAGGCACCCCTGAACGCGCCAAAACTGACAAAAACATTTGAACTTCCAAGCTCTCCTCCCTTTCTGTCAGCTACAAGCCACAGAGTCCTTGAAGTGCCAACTCCCACTGTGCAGCGGAGCTCGTTGCGGAGATCGCCGTGCCTGGCGCCAAAAGTTTAAGGGGGGTTCAGGGCTCAGGGCTCACAGGGCGAATAGGGCTGGGAGCTCCCTTTTGGAGAACAAGGCTGATGTGGTTTGCAGGGTCAAGAACAAGGAGGGTCTTCAAATACTGAAGTGTTGAAGCTTCAGGGGATTCAGAGTTCAGGGCTGCAAAGGCCACCTTAGAACAGGCCTAACAGGACCTTGACCCTCAGCAGCCCAAATCCCAAGAGCCACGAACCCCACAAGTTTCAATTCCACCTTATGGGCTAAACTGCTACGACTTAAAGGGTCTAGGGTTTAGGTTTAGGGTTTATCATTGCAGAACTGTAGGCAACACAGTTTCTGGGACACACACACACACACAGTGATTCAGGGGCAGCAAGATTTACAGGTCAATCTTTGGGGGCAACTCTGCTGAGCCCGTATGTAGGGTCCCTTGTAAACCCAAGCAAGGAAAGTATGATATTATAAAAAAGGCCAACCTGGCATAGGAGATGCCTTGACCCAAAGCTCCACAGCTAAGCACCAAGAAACCCAAGCTCACAACCCTCTAGTAGTCCCACTCTCCCCCCACGAAGAAACCCATTCCCCCCCCCAACGTGAGCTCTCCGAATCCCGCGACCCTAAGGATCGTTGCATGGTCCCCTTAGTATGGGCCTCAAAAGGGAGCCCTTATATACCCTTAGTATCTATGCAACCTTCAAGAGCCCATACTCAAGAACCCTTTGAAGGAGGCACATAAGGGACCACAGGTTTAATTCATAAGGGACCACATGAAGGGCCCATGCAATTACCCTTAGCCCTGCAACTACGAGGCCGAGAGGCCGTAGGACACGGCGCTTGCGGCGACGCGAAAGGAGGCCATTGCGATCAGCAGTTCGAGGGCCTTGGAGTTTAGGGTTCAGGGCCTTGGGGTTGAAGGTTCAAAGGGCTTTGGGGATTAGAAAGCCGTGGCTATGTAGGCCTTCCGTAACTTATTGTGGATTTTGGGCATGTAGGATTTACGGATTAAGAGAGATTTCGGATCGCAGGAGGCTAGGCAGCGCAGGTGGTGTTCGCACTAGCGTGGAGGACGGCTGATACGGGATTCAGACGGAAGCGGTGTGAAGGAAGGGTTCAGAAATCCGCAAGGATGAATAGAAGGATTTCAGTCGGTTTCAAGAAACATTGGGCCCCGCCACTCCCCCCCCCCCCTCATTGTGTTTGTGTGTTTTTGCCACCCGCCTAGCTGACTCGGCGTCGCGCAGAGAGCGTCAGGGTTAAGGACTTCTTTGAAAGGGTTCAGGATATAGGCTTACACACAGAAGGGTTCGGGTTAGGATAGCCGTTTATGATTCAGCTCCAGAACACGGGGTAACTCCAACCTGACTTGTCCACCCCGATCAAAAGCTTCGGGCAGCTTACACCTACCTTCCACAAGAAGCTAACCGGCAGCCTGCTGCCACTGCCCGCCCTTGTCGCAGGCGTTCATGGCAGAATTGACGCTGATCGTATTCCTTGCTGCGCTTGTCAGCTACATAGTAACACAACCTTCTGAGCTGTCCAATTGGAACCTGGAGTAGGGTTGGTTCCTCGTTGCCGCTCTCCTAGCTAGGACTCTAGATGGGGACTTCATTGGGCCCAGCTTGCGGCTGCTTGGTGCCGAAGTAGGATCTCTTCTCAGGGTTTGTTGCTGATCTTTCGGGCCGCAGGGCCTCGGGGCCCTCAAACCGAGCTTCAAACTACCAGTGTACACAAATGGCCCTATACAAAGCAGGACACCAAGAGGTGAGCCGCAAAGGAGCTTATGAAGTCTGGGAGCAGGCCCACGGAAGCCGAGGGCAGAAGCCAGAGCAGCCACAAAGCCAGCTCCCACTGGCCCTGAAGTGAATTGCTTGGCAGTGTTTTGGGTGACCTGCTGGGTCTAGGGTGGGTGTTCCTACGGGCCTGGGAGGAATCTGCAGGCACAGGGCGCAGGAAGAAGGAGTGGTTGAACATGGCTCAGCTGAGGGCTGCTAGGTCCTGAAGCCCATGGAACCGTAGACAACACTAGACACGCAGCGCACTGGACATGTCGCATTGTCACCTGTTTTTCTTCACACCTGGCCTCCGCCGCACAGGCAGCCAATGCACCGTTGTAGCTTCGGATGTTGGGGCATCTAGGAAGAGGCGGATGCTGAGCTTACGGGGAAGGCATACGGCTTGGATGAGCTGAGGTGCGTGTAGCGACCTCTCTTGCCTACTTGCCAGATCTGGAGAATCCTCTTGCAGTCATGCCACAAGCAGCTAAAACCATACAAGTCAGCCAGCACCTCCCTATCCGGACATTGACAAAGGCGCCTGTTCCTTTTGGGGGGCCCAGCCTTGCCATGATATTTATGTTGTCCTGAATGCTACACTCTGAAGTGCCGTAAAGAAGCATTACCTGCTCAAAGCCTGGTGACTGCAACAGTGTATCGGTGCGATTGCCTGAACGTAGATGTGGTTAATGTCTGGTTCCTTGCCAATCAGAGGCGAGGGGCACGGATTCATCCTTCATCGACCAAAGCAGGCACAGAGACTCTTGCCAATTCGACACCCTCGCGCAGGCGTTGATGGCACCAGTGAAGCTGACCTGAGCAAGGGACCCCGAACGTCCGAGCCCTGAAGCCTGAAGCCTAAACACAAGCATGTCCAGAAACCTCATGCCCCTAAACTGCCGAGATCGCAGAAATCAGAAGCAGAAGGAAGTCTTGCTAGTCAGCGCTTAGGTTCTCAGCGCTCCAACCTGGTGGAGCTGGGAACCCGCGGTTTGCTTGGTCCATCTCATCATGCATTTAAGGAAACGAAAAGGTTTACATACTGGACGAAAGCACATCACATATCAAGCCGAAGAGCCAGGAAACATTTAAGCACATCTTTAGAAGCCAGAACGCCAAAAAAACTAGCATGTTAAAAAACCAGAGAGCTAGATAGAAGTACCCAGAAATATACAAGAACCAAAGTATCAGTTATACCAATACGCGAGCATCTGAAACTAAACGCTATCGGAAGCCAGAGAACTCACGTATCTAAATGGGTCACGAATCGAAGCACGTAATGGGTAACAACTACGTTCATCATCCACAAAAAGTCCACGGTCGTTTAGAGAAATTTTGGTCTGCAAAAAGATCGCATTGAAACTGGCTTGTTTCAAAGGTCAGAAACCTACGATGGCATAGAAATCAAGCTTTACACCTGGCTTGACAAACACGCGCAAACCTAGCACGCCTTGCACAAACAAAACCTACGCAAACCTACCTTTCGCGTATTCACACCCAAACCGAAACACGCACAAACCTACACGAAATAGTGCCAAAGCAGAGCTGACGCTAACCTACATGCTGAGGCATTAGCCTGTGGGACCAGGCCCGATGGGATGTAGAACTCTAACTCCTTTTGAATCTTGTTGTTCGCGGCTCCAGATCTGTTACAGTGTTATGTTAAGGGTCAAAGGTCTGGGAGGGGTGTTGTGCCGAGGATGAACAAAGTTCCAACGAGGAAGTACAGGGATGTGTGCACTTAAGAAGACACAGAAGGGCCCCCAAATGCTTGGGGACACGTGCCCACTTGCCGGGACCAGCCAGCAAGGAGGAAGCCGTGCAATCCGCCTGGTCTTCGAAGCCGGCACCCTAACAGAAGCCGAACACGCCCTAAGCCACAGAACCCCCACGCTCCCTAGAAGGCGCCCTTTTGAACCCATGCGAAGACCCTGTGCAAGCAAGGAGCCACATCCGGAACGACACCGTGGCCAGCGAGCCGATTGAAAAGGTCCAAAGCATGGTCCCACCGCCCGCCCTGCACTTAAGCTTCGTGGGAGGATAAAGGGCGGAGGTGTTACAGCTTTTGAAGCGGTTTTTGCGTGCTTCCAGGACGGCATACGGTAGCTGAGCCTGAAGAGGTCATTAGTTAGGGCCCAGGGTTGGGCACCCTCTCTAAGCAACAGCGTAGCACCCCAGGACGATGGTACAAGCTCTGACCCAACAAAAGCCGCATTTCTTCAGCGGGGTTTTGTAGCACCTTCTGACCCCAGCAGCCCGACATCACAAAATGAGAAACCGACCTCGACAATCTGGCACGCGCTCAAGCAAGTTCCAAATAAGTTACGATTGAAACATAGGGTTGAGCGCGCTACTCCCTCGAGGGTTTAGGGTGCACACCTTCTCACATACGCTGATGGCAGCATTGAGCACCACAACGTTAGGTGGAGCGGAGGCCGCCTGCAGCGTGGAGCATCTTCAAGACTCGGGGGGCCGGGGCTATTAGGCCTTAGAATTCCCCATAAACAAGCCTATAAAGGGCCTTTTTAAGGGGTCATAGGGTCTAGTGGCCCATCCTGGGAAGCCTGAGCTCTTTGGCTCGGGGGCCCTTAGATCCCTCAGCCCTACAGGCACGCCGCAAAGACTTGCGCGAAGGCGCCGCGCAACTTTGGGCTGACCGTCGCTACGCGCAAGAAGCATGCGGCACTACACAGTGAGGTCTCTCTCTCGCGTGGCCAGCTGCACCGTGCACCATAAACTCTGATTGGGACCCATCCGGCTCGCAACTGACATGTGACACATCCTTGGGCCCAAGAGACCCTAGAGCAACCCCAAACCCGAACCTCTCCACGAGACTTCTTTTTATGCAACCCTACGCCCTCACTCAAATAGAGCATTGCGGCACTGCCTTCCAGAAGGGAAGCACACAATCAAAGTCTCTGAAGCTAGGGGCTTGGGAGACAAGGTTTTTTTGGGCTGGGCCTTTTTTGCCAGACCCGGTTTGCCCCAAACCCACCTCCATGGCCACCAGGATCGCTAGAGCCAGTGGCCACTGCGCATCCGACTGGCCTCTGACTGTGTGGAATTTCGGGCTTCAGGATTTCGAGTTCAGGGTTGTGTTTGTGGGGTTCGGAGTCGTTCGAGGGGGTTGTTGCCACCCCAAGGTGAGGATTGCTGTTCCTCAGACGCGGAACAACAGGCCGACCGTGTGCTTTGGAGAACAAAGTGCTTCGTGTGTAGATGCGTGGCGCTTCCGTTGCACCGCAGCAGCCTGACCCAAAAAACCAGATCGGAGTGGCGCAAGGCCTACCGAAGAGAGTATGGCTCCGTTAGAGTTTGGGAAGCCCAAAGCGTCACGGGAGCTCGAACAGTCTTGACCCACCGGGCCCCTCTCTGACACTCTTCTTGCATCGTTCTTCGCCCAGCTGCATGCGTGAATAGCCGCGCTGTAGTGAAAGACGTTGGTCTCCACAGCCGCCTTCCAATGAATGCCCCGCATGCAGGGTGGTAACACAATGAACTCCTTCCAGCTGCGATGGAAGGCTCACTTCCTGCTCCTCTTGGCGATGAGAACTGTCAGGCTTCAGGGTGTCTCTGTGCTCGGTTTGCTCTTTTGGGGGGTGATGTTTAGGCGGTTGGGTATGGGTTCAAGGCTTGAGTTCTTGAGTTCGCACACTTTGCTCAGAAGTCTTCCAAGCCCTGGCCCTGGGGACGGAATGAACCCTTAAACGTGCTTGTGGCTCATGTCTGAATGGTACGTATAATACGGTGACTTCCCTAAAGTGTGGCCCTTTTAGGGTCCTTATCATACGTCGGCCCCTCTCATTTAGGGTACCCAAAAAAAGGAACCTAATTATGAGAGCTCACCATCTAGTTTTGCCTTTCATTCAGTCCCCCACAAGTATAACTGGCACTGTTACATGCGCCTCGCGCATGAGCCGCACGACTCGCCAAACCACGCTCGCGGGCTTGGCCTTCAAGATTTTAAGGCAGCCTCTACAGGAAAGGGCCCTGAACCCTCAACCCAGCAAAGGGCCCCAAACCCTAAACACTCAACCCTAAATTACTAAGTGGACCCTCCAGCACTGAAACCCCGAACCCCCAAGCCTGCAAAATTCCAAACCCCCTCCCCGCAACGCCTACGTTAGACACCGGAATTCGGGCCTTGGCAAGGGCCGACAGTGCCTTGCAAAGGCGCCGCATTTTGGGAAGGATGTAGGACTTTGGGGTTTAGGGTTGAAAGGTGATGTAGAGCTTGGCACCTACGTGAAGTTGCATATCCCACTGAGCTCAAGGTTCGAATATCATCCCAAATCAGGCCCACTTGCTTAACAATCCTGAACCCAACATTCCTTTCTCCTTTCCTCCTTCAGACGACCTCTGCTCGGCACCTGATGACCCCTAAGCCCTTTTAACCCTTAACCCTTGTTTTCTTCTCTTCTTTGCAACCTTACATCCCCACCAAAACAACCCTAAGCCGCGCCTTGGTGGCGTAGGAAGGTCTTCGGCGCCAGGAAGGGAGCAGCTGAGCCTCGGGAGCAAATGGCTGAGGCCTCTGCCAGAAGTCGGTGGGGTTCCTTTTTTTCCTGGCCCCCGGACTGCAAGATGTCGCCTTTCTTTTGGGATGTTCCCCCTTATTCTAACAGTCCTTTGTAGGGATGATCATAGGGGGCACTGTAATCCCTATTCAGGACTGTTGGTATGAGGGGGGAATGTCCCAACCTTGCTTCGAAATACTAGCCTGGCATACCTTCCTTTGGTCCTTATGACAGCTCACGACGTGCGAGTGAATCATGGCAAGGCAGTGCCCTCCGAGGGAGCACGGGAAATCACAGGAACGCGTAGCAACGAGAGATACTAAGGTCACCCTAAACCCTATAGACCCTAAACCCTATATAAACCCTTTTGTTTGAACCCAGGCTCAATCCTGTCCAGCTGGGAAGTCACCCTAAACCCTGAGCCCTGAGCCCTAAACCGTAAACCCTAAGCCCTGCGCCCTAAACCCTAGAAGGGTGGAAGCTGCCTGCCTGGGATCTTCAGCTTCGTCCAGGATGCTGACTCTCATTATTGCGCAAGACATCCTCGAAAACCCATATACCTAGTTGATGAGTACCATGGGCCAAGAAAAGGTTGGCCTTTCGATTGTGGTGGGATGATATACCCCAGAAGGTTAAAGTCTATCTACTCAGCTACTAAGTATAGTGGAGAACCTTAAGCCCAGTCTGACAGTGTGCATTTGCAAGACATGAGGCCGGGCCGCTAGGGCCCTTTTTTTTCCCCAAATTCTCCAGCAACAGCGCAACACTTCACAACCCCACCCGGCTGTTGAAGGAACATGCCAGGAAACGAGTGCGGTCGGAAGTTGGCTTTCTTCCGCCGACAGGAGCGGGTCAAAGGGGAAGCCCATCGCGCAACCTTCAACAAGACTTGAGTCTGTTTGTTGGAGCCCGTCAGATTCTGATGATGCCCGTTCTTTTTCCAAAAACATCTCACGCTCTGAGGACTCACCACTGCCGCGCATTGAAGATTCATAGACACCGGGCTCCATGTCATGTAGGGTTCGAGGTCATCGGGCTTGAGATCCTCTTTGTGTGAGGCTTTTGGGCTGCAAGGCTCCGGTGTGACGCGCAAATTTTCTTTGTCAACGTCCCGAGGGTTTGACGGAAAACCCGACAGTCGAAGAGCCTTCCCGCCACTGAAGCCTTAGGGCTATAGAGTAGTTTCAGGGCTTAGGATTCACATGGTGGAAGGGCCACCTGAGCTAAAGCAGCCTCTGTGGGAGGTTCAGCCGGTTTAGGCAAGGCTCGGTAAACTGGACGTGAAGGCTCCGGCTCTAGGCCCACCAGTGTAGGCAATGCAGAGGCGGCGACATGCCCACATTGGTGTTGGAGCAGGTCTGCTGGGATTTTCCTGCAAACCCCGCAGCCCAAACTCAAGGAGCCAAAGCTGAACCAAGTCGGAGCATGTCAGGGTCAGTCAGGGTTCAAGGCAGAAGCTTGAGGTGCGGACCTGCCTGGTTATTGATGGGGTGTGCCTCCGGTCAGAACATGTTCGAAGCGCGTTCGCTTGCTCCCGTACGCCGTGCACGCACTGCCGCGTCCGAATGTTTGCATGCCCCCGCGTCTGCTTCTTGATTTGCCCATGCATTCGCATGTCCTGCGCTGGCATGTTGATGGAAGCGCAAGCAAAAGACTTGAAGACCAGAAGCATCCTGAAGTCGGTGGTTTTGCTGCCGGGCCTTAAGGCTCCAAAACCTTAAATACTACAAACGGCCCAGACTCTTTCCGGTCATGAGTTTTCAAGGGAGGTGATGCTGACTCCCACAAGGCGAGGCCTACACCTCTAGACGCCACCTCCTGGATAAAGATGATTTTGAGTCTCCAGTTTTAACCCAAAACTCATGATCACTGTTCAGGATTCCGAAGGCTTCCTCGTGCGTTTGCGTGATGAGGGACGGGCATGCAACAAGCCTTCGCATTTTAGGGCTCGGAGTCTCCTTTTGCCCTCAGCCGGTGAAGGTTGACATCTGGATCCTCCCATGCCGGTCAGGATACCATGCCTCGTTTGATCCACCCCAGACCCAGCGCTTCGTGATACTGACAGGCAGGACATGTTTAGCCCACGGGCCCATCACAGCAACCGTAAAGGCCAGCAAGGCATAACGTCCAACCATTTGAGTGCTGAAGGCGTGCCAGAGCTGGAAGAGGGACCCTGCTCCCAGTGCAAAGCTCAAGTACGATGCAGATAGCGCAGCCTCCTCGTTCATCTCATCTGAGGGGAGACTCACCTGGAAGACATCAAGCCCCAAGTCGAACATCAGGAGGTTGGCCACGGCAGCTGCCAGGACCCCAACACATATTAAGGGCACCAAAGGAGACCAAAAGATTAAGAGCTCCTTGGCTGAACGCTCATGCCGACTCTTTAGATACGCAGGCTCGAAACTCAGCCAATCTTGCTTCAAGTGGCCAGCCCGGGTAAGTAGGTCTTACATGTCGATGACCGCCTCTATTCCCCAAACAGCATTGCAACCGTATATGGGGTTCGAACGTAATTTGAAACCCTTCTAGTATTCTAGTGTGCAAGGAGTTGATTGTTAAATCCGAAGTTGAAACTGCGCACCTGCCTGAAGCCTGGCGCAATGTTCTTTCATGTCTCTTGTTTTGCCACACCCTGCGTGTTTCAAGTTCGTCGTCGCTTAGGTTGTGATGCTCTCCTGCCGGTGGCATTCTGTTGAAGCGCTTTCTTTCCCAAAGCTCTTGTTTTCGCGAAAGTCGTCTTCGCGCAGTCTTTGACGCTGAGGCTACTTTTCCGCCAAAGCATGATGCTCTTTTCCAGTGTGCGTGGCTTTTTGGGCGCAAACCGTGCGGCAGCCAATCAGCTGATCAGCCAATGAGCGAAGCAGCCGTTTAGCTGACTGACGCACGCTTCTATTCCGGGCTGGGCTTTTGTTAATATTGGGTGTTTTTTTTGCACCAGAGGGTGAGGATGCCGGTCGGGAGTTGGGGCTCCAGGGCCTGTAGCCGCGAACGCTCGGAATCAAACTATTACCTCTGCAATGTGGTGATTCTTTCCTTCCCTCGCCCCTTCAACTGACCCCCAACCCCAAATTTGCATGCCGATCGATACTTGATCGCCCGGAATCAAACTATCACTCCTGCACTCTAGTGATTCTTTGCTTCTGGCCATTCCCTCGCCCCTTCAACTGACCCCATCAGCCCCAATGCTTTTTTCTCCCTGACTAAGTCTAGACATGCGCCTGCGTGTTACAACAGGAGGCCCCAAAAGGGAATGATTGCAGAAAGCCTCTCGAAGCCCTGAAGCCTAACAGCACCTTTACAGCTGTGTTTGGTTGCCTCGCCGGATTACTTCACCCTAGGAATAGACTTGGTTTGGGTGACTACGAGGATCGTGGCTTTCTTTAACTGTAGATCGGCTACTCTAAGGAGAAAACTTTCGTCGACACACCCTACCATCAATGAGGTGCATTTCTCAGGAGACAGACAGCCATTTGGATACCAATTCCAAGAGCCGACGACAAAAACCCAGAAGGCCGGTGGCATTCTTATCTCTAGGACTCTAGGCCTGCAAGGTCAGCCACACTTCAACTGCCACCAGGACTCCATCTGCGTGGTCAGGAGTGCCATTTGCTGCAGCGGCACAAGCGATCCGGTGGTTTTGGGCCACACGCCAAGCAACCTGCGGTGGCGTCCTTGTTTCGCACCGCTCTCCGGCTCCAAACGCGACAGCCACCAGGACACCAGCCAGATCAATGGCTGCAGCGTGCTTCGGGTCAGAAGCTTCTTCAGCAGAAAAGGCGTCACACCACCCACGATGGCACGGCTGCAGCGACCATCAGACCAGAAAGTTCCGCTGAAGTCGCAGATGTCGCGCTGCGTGTTCAGGATCTCCTCGTCGAAGATCTTCCAATTGAACTTGCTCTGCTCGTTCGATCCCTCCCTGCAGACATTCCATGCGAGCTTCCAGCCACCATGACAGTTCTCATCCAGCACTACAGTGGTAAGCACCGCAAGAAGCCATGCGGAGAACAGGCGGAACATCATGAGAAGCCTGTCGGCCTTGACCCCTGTCAGGCCAGAAAACTTTTGAGAGATCTGCACGGCGAACACCATGTCAATGAGAACAGCCTGTACTGGCGCAGTCCCGTGGAAAAACTTCAGCATGTTGTTGTCAGGGTTGCTTGGCTGTGCTGGAAGCGACTGGGCAAAGGTGAAGAACACGGATGGCAAAGACAAAGCACTCACAATGCAGATCCAGAGAAGCCACGCGCAGACCCTGCCGCGCCAGCTCTGCCTGTCACTGGGTTGGCCAAGTTGGTTCTCGCTTTGCCGCCTGGCCATGGGAAGGCCCACGACGACACTTCGGAAGAAGAGTTGAATGGCACACCAGCATGTGATGACGCCCAAGTCGGGCCAGGTAGACGCTGCCATCAGGTTTGCGACGGTAGCTTGCCACAGGGGAGGACTGCAGTCGTAGTACTTGCCACTGAAACCGAAGATGAGCAGCAGCGGACTTGCCACGAGAAAGGTGCAAAGGGTACACTTGATCCTTTGATCTCTGTGGGTTAGAAGTTTGTTCAGGTCGAGCGGGGGCCTATGCAGAAAGCTCTGCCTACTTCCAAGATCAACAGAACAGTCGAGATAGCTCAAGAACCAGCTACTTAGCAGCTGACTATTGCCGACTTGGTCACAAGGCCATGCCGGACGAAGCCACGCGAGCTCTGGCATCAAAGTCTGACCTGCGAGACACCTCCGCAAGTCTTCCTTTTAACCGGTGCCCACAGAAACCTGCGCAAAGCATCAGCAAAAGGAAGCCGGCCAGGACGAGCATGTTGGATTTGAAGACGCTGGGGGAGTAGTAAAGGAAGGGGTGGCGCTCCTCCTTCGAGATCCACGACGAGGCCAGTGCCGTGCCATCCCCGAGCATGTTCCCCATAACCACTAAGCTCAGAACCTTGCTGCTGCTGATGAATTCTGGAACAGCGCAGGAAAAACGATTGTGGTGCAGCGTCAACTTGGCGAGGCCGCTACCAGAACAGGTTCTGAAGGATGCCGGGCAGTTTGATTCGACTTCAGCCAGCTCCTCACCTTGCCAGTCATCTCTCAAGAAGTTCAGAGAGCTGCAGTCATAGAGGCCGCGCAGTCTGAATTTTGCATTGTTTAAACAGGCTGCGCTTACATTCAGACTTCCGATCTTGCCACCAATCGAGTTGTCATGCAGGGTCAAGACACCAAGGCGGCTCAGACGGTACAAACCTTCGGGAAGCACACCCGTCAAACTATTCTTGTGGAGCGACAGAATGGTAAGCCGTGGAGCGGTGATTTCGGGCAGGGAGCCACGGAAACGGTTGTTATTCAAAGCCAGAAACGTCAAGTGTGCGAACTGCAACAAGCATGATGGCACTTCGCCCGAGAAGAGGTTATGGTTCAGCCTCAGCTCCTGAAGCACTCCGCCCACAGGGCTTCGGGCACAGAAGAACTCAACAATGCCTGAAATACCTTCTGCAAACTTGTTGTGGCTCAAATCCAAGCATTGGAGGTTCCCGACAGAGAGTCTAGGCCGAAAGCGGCCACGGAAAGCATTGCTGCTGACATCAAGCACTCGCAGGTAGGGCATCTGCAACACCGTTGGAAAATGACGCAACCTGTTCTGCTGCAGCAACAGCTCTGTCAGCCTGCGTAGCTGACAGACCTTTTGAGGAATCCTGCCGGACAGTTGGTTCTGGGCGAGGTAAAGCCGGCCCAGGTGTGGGAGCTCACCGAGGTCTTCCGGGATTTCCCCGGTCAAGTGGTTTTGGGAAAGAAGCAGCGCCTTCAACCTCTGGAGCTGGCCAAGTTCCCTGGGGATTTGGCCGGTCAGCTTGTTGCCAGATAGGTACAGCCACTGCAAGTTCAAGAGCTGGCCGAGTTCCCCCGGGATGTCGCCGGAAAGCTGATTATGCGAGAGATCAAGATATTCCAGGTTTGGGAGGTCAAGGTTGCGGATTATCCTGCCACTCAGAAGGTTCCGGGAAAGGTCCAAGGCCCACAGAAACGGGAACTGGCCGAGCTCCGATGGAATTTGGCCGGTCAGCTGATTCTGGGAAAGGTCGATATTTTCCAGATTCCGAAGATGGCCCAACTCCCTAGGAACTTGACCTGTGAGCTGATTCTTACCAAGAAACAGCACCCGCAAGCTTTTTAGCTGGCCAAGCTCCTGTGGGACTTCGCCGCTCAGCCGATTCTGTGCGAAGTCCAGTCGCTGCAGCTTCAGAAGCTGTCCCGTCCCACTGGGAATTTCACCCGTCAGCTGGTTCTGGCCGAGATACAGCCATCTCAAGTTCTGGAGTTGGCCGAGCTCCTGGGGCGTCTCGCCCGTGAGCTTGTTGGAGGAGAGCTGGAGCATCTTCAGTTTCTGGAGCTGGCCGAGCTCCGCGGGGATTTCGCCGGTCAGCTGGTTATCATGCAGCTGTAGGTGTGTCAGATGATGAAGTTGGCCGATTTCAGGGGGAACTTGCCCTTGAAGGTGTCGACGTCGGAAATCGAGGCTTGTGATTCTATCCTGGCACCGCCACAGTCGCCCCAGATGCCCCATACAAAAATCCGGCTCCAAGGGTGAACCCGGCACCTGCGTTTTGGCACTTTTACTCTGTATGAGGTACGCGACGTCGCGTCCGACGTGCATGTCGACACGCTCCAGGGGCGAAGGGTTTATTTGCTGTTTCAGTGTTGGGGTGCTGTACACAAAAAAACCAAAAAACAAAACCACAAAACCACAAAAACCAAAAAAACCAAAACCAAAAAAAACAAAAAAAACCAAAACCAAAAAAAAAAAAAACATTATTCCGGAAGTCTCCCTCTAAGAGTTCCTAGGAAATGTTTTTTTGGTGTTTTTTGGTTTTGGTTTTTTTGGTTTTTTCTGTTTTGGTTTTTTTGTTTTTTTTGGTTTTGGTGTTTTTGGTTTTTCTACTGTCCCGTGTATGCGATTTTAGTTGTATTTTCGTCTACGCCTTAGGAAACACGCTATGTTGCACACTGAGTTTGCTTGCAGTGCAGCTGGGTGACTTGAGACAAGGCGAAAAAGGGTAGGTCACGGGGGGGGGGGGGGGGTACTAAATATGCTACCCCCTCTCAGCGACCTACCCTTTTTAGGCCTTTTTAGGCCTTTTTAACAAAAAACAACAACGAAGGCCCAAAGCCGCGTAGTTAATCACCGTGGAATGAAGGACAGTTACTGGGACACCCACCTCACAGACCCCGATAAGCCGGCATTGGATTAATCTACATTTTGAATCTGAAGCGGACAATGCTGTTTGTAGATGTCTAGATCTGTGTTTTTTCTATGCAAATTGTGCGTTTAAAGGGCAATTAATGTTTTGTTGAGCAACTAATTTATTTATACAGTTGTGTTTGCACGAGGCAAAGCATTAATCAAATAGTGAAGCATTTTTCTTTATTCTATGCGAATTTAACTACTAGAGTATTTATTAAGCAAAGAGCCCAATTTGACTCAAGTGAATACTATTTAAGGGAGCATGCTCAACCAAGATACGAAATAGACACCATTCTCAACCAAAATATGGCAAAGTGTGCGTTTAAAGGGCAAATAATGCTTTGTTGAGCAACTACCGTATTTATACAATTGTGTTTGTATTAGGCAAAGTATGAATCAAATACTATCTGAAAAGTCCACTGAATTACCTTATGTTTACATATTCATGAAGTTTTTTACCTTTGAAATAATCTTTCTATGCGAATTTAGCTACTAGAGTAATTATTAAGCAAATGGCCCAATTTGACTCAAGTGAATACCATTTAAAGGACCATACTCAACCAAAATACGAAATAAGCATCATATTCCATCAAAATATGGCAAAGTGTGGTTTAAAGGGCAAATAGTGCTTTGTTGAGCAACTAATGCATTGAAACAGTTGTGCTTATACCAGGCAGAGTATATCTGCAAAGTCCACTGAAATACCTTATGTTACATATTCGTGAAACAGTTTTTTTGAAATATTCATTCTATGCGAATTTAACTACTAGAGTAATTCTTAAGCAAATAGCCCAATTTGACCCAAGTGAATACTATTTAAAGGACCATACTCAACCAAATACGAAATAAACCCTAACGGAAATGGAAGCGGTTCTACCTACATAACAAAGAAACAAAGATTGCTGAAGTATTCAATAAGGACCACGAATACATACTATGTCTGAAAAACACAATTTGCATAAGCAAGCTTAAAAATGCACAACAATGGAAATAGAAGCGGTTCGACTTACATAACGATGAAACAAAGATGTCTGAAGTATTTAAGAAAGACCACTTATACACTATGTTTGAAAAGCACAACTTGCACAATCGCAAACCTGCATGCGCTTGTCTCTGTCCGCAGCTATGAACACATCCAAACGAGTGATTTCGTTTCGTGTATTTACATAAAGTGCCAAAACGCAGGGGCCGGGTTCACCCCTGGAACCAAAAATCCATATGACATCTCATGAGCCTCCCAAGCCCTCTCTCCTGCGAGCCCCTATGGATTGCGGGTCCTTGCTATCGCACGCGATCCCCAAGGCGTTGCAGGGGCTCCTTGCCATCAGTTCCGCTTCATCGCTCGGAAGCCCAAGCGTGCGGAAGATGCCTCGGAGCGTGGCCTCCTCCAACACATTACCCCAAAGCTGCAGTAGCAGAGACGAAAGCCCCGAATCAAGCAAACATCGTGTAAGCTGGAGCACATCCAAGGCTGTGCCAGCAGGGCTTGTAAGTGCACACAGACGCAGACATTGCGCGCGCACAGAGATGTATGTGTATGTGTATATGTATATATATATATATATATATCAGAGATAATATATATATACATATATATATATACAGACTCTTGTGCTCCCTGTCTCTCTCACATGGACCATATGCTCGGTGTACATACATGTTGCATACAGAAATGTGCATGCGCACATACAAAATAGACATGTATATCTGCTCTCAACAGCACACAGCAGTCCTCAATCGACATGGCCCCCGTCACCATCATGGCTTGCAGGGCGCATTGCACCGGACACCACATGATGAGACTGAAATTCTGCCAAGCCCCCCGTCCCCAAAAAAAGCTCTAAGCCCCCAAGCAATAGCCGGAAACCGCCGCATCGAGGTGCTTAGCTTCAACATGCTTGCTCCGGCCCAGTGGACCGGTATGGCACCAACTGATTGAGCTCAGAATTGGGATGCACCCCATGAGCCGCCTTCAACTTCTGCACCAGCTTCAGACTCATCGTGCAGAAAGGTTTAGACAACCCATACCCTTACCTACCTTCAGAACGTCAGAAAGCGATTTGTTTTTGGACCTTATGACTCCGCTAGAGTCCAGCTCACGACCCCCCAAGCCCGTTTGTTGAGGGGCTGCCATGCATCATGTCACCCTAAACCCCCTAAACCCAGCCAGAAACCCTGCAAAGCAAACACCAGGAAGGTGAGAATTGGGACGTCTACATTATGTTCCTGTGATAGAATGCCCTGAACAACATGGCGTGATCATGCCCTTAACCCCTTTTCCCGAAACTCAAAACCCCTAGGGGCTGTGCCACTGTGGGACAGAAGGCGACGACGGCTCTGCATCATGCCAGATTTATCAATACCTTTCGCGCCACACTCCTGAAGCCCCGAAACTCTTATGATCTAAGCCAATCCTGGCCCCCAGAAACCCTCGTAAGCCTGCAAGCTCTTCGAGTTGCTTGGCCACCCTTCATTGGGGTTTACCCAGGACTCTGTGTTAGCGGTTACCGGGGGGTCTTGCTGGAACTAGGAGTCGACGCTGACCAGGGGATGTAACGCAACTCACGCTACCACAATAATAATGAAGTTATATAACAATTTGTAGTATTGTTTGCTACATAGCCCTACTGTCATCATGAACCTGAATCAGGTTTTGACCGCGCCCATCGAAGCTGTTCTCGCAGTGGGTGCCAAACAGTTCTTCTTGCCAAGGTCGTGGGCATTTCGTCCTGGACCTTGGATTCAGGTTTGAGGTTTCTGTTGGGTTTGGGCTTTCAGGTTTCAGGGTATCACAAAGCTTCATGGAGCCAAGAGCGTTTGACAACGATCTTTAAATTAATCTTCAAGGCCGGGAGCTTAGGACCGTGTATAGGGGGTGCTCAGACTAAGCACGTAAGTCAACTCAGCTTGGAGTTTCAAGTAACTACATTAACAATAGGGTGCAAAGGGTGCAAAACAGCTGTTGCTCAACAGTCTTTTAAATTGTTGAGAGGATAGCACCAACCATTCACTAGCCCTTCTTGAGCAAAAGTTTGTGGGACCCCATAAGCTCCAGAACCCGACCCGAGACTTCAACTCCACGCTTTTCTATCGTAAACAATCCCTCCGTGGTCGCAAGGGCTCCGATCCTTATGCCCTCACCTAACCCGAACCCCTTGCGCAAAATATGAGTTCTTTCTGTGATGCGCAGGAAATCGGGACTACGTTCCTAGGCAATGAGGGGGCGAGAGGTTCACCGATGAATGGAGGGAGAGGGCGAGAGAGAGGAGGGAGGGGGACCGAGGGGGGGAGGCGAGAGAGAGACACAGAGAGCATGAGCGAGCATGAGAAAGGGAGAGGGAGAGAGAGAGAGATGGGGCACGGAACACGAACACGAGAGAAATAGAGAGAGAGAGAGGCCGGGAGAGGGAGAGAAAGAGAGCCAGCTAGGGAGAGGAGGATAAGCTAAACCCCGCAAAACACAAAGAACTCTGGAAGTGAGTTGGGTTTGGGACTGTTGGGGGGGAGGGCCCCAGTTCCAGCACCTCAGATTTCGTGGTTCAGAGCTTGGGCTCTTACCCTGCGGCCTATGGTTTTGGGGGCAGACTTTGTGGTCTCTCTATCCATTGTTTGAGTTCTTTGGGGGGTTGGGACTAGTAGTTGCCTTTGTTGGGCCACGCATCTGTGGAGGGGTTTGCAAGATCAAGGCGTTGCTGAAATGGACCCCTAAACTGGCCCGCAACCGTACACCCTTTACTCGGAGTCATACGACACCCCCTGAACATCCTCGACTCCTATGGGTCTGGTATGGTCTGTCCGGTTTCATGTAAGATCGAGTTCACGAGACTTTTGCCGTTCTGCCTCAGACTGGGCCTTGAAACAGTTGCGAGATGTTGCGAGCAGGTTCTCCCTTCTGCTCCTTCATGCATCCGACGATGTTCATCCAGCCCGCTCCTCCACCCCCATCATCTCAACCGCCTCAACCTGCTCGGCTTCCCGCGCATCGGAACGAGCCCAGACTCGGCGCTTCACTGCAGCAACGGGCAAGAAGCGGGGAGCCCACGGGCCCATCACGGCAAGTGTGAAGGCCAGGAGCACATACCGTCCAGTCATCTCGGTGCTGAAAGCATGCCAGAGCTGGAAGAGGGACCCAAATCCCAGCGTAAGGGACAGGTAAGAAACGGAGAATGCGCTGGCGCCGCCATCCGTCCCGATTGACGGAAGGCATACTCCGTAGAAGTCCATGCCCAAATCGAAGATCAACAGGTTCATCGCAGCAGCTACTAGGATCCCGACGCAGAGTAATGGAACAAATGGAGACCAGAACATCAAGAGTTCCTTGGATGTGGACAACCAGTGCCAACTAGCTGTGGAACCCCAAACCAACACGTAAGACAGAGGAACATGACCTGGAGCAGCTTTCCTGAAATTACCTCTCTCAGAATACAAACGACTCCAAACTCGATACAGCCCTCCCTCATCCCACCAGTAGCGAAAAAACGGTGGCCACCAGCATGTAAACAAAATGGCATCTCTGCGCGCTTGACTTTCGCGAATTCAGAGTGCAAGGCTTTTTTAACGACGCGACAGGTGACAGGTAGGCAAACACACACACACACACACACACAGAAGCAACTAAAAAACAAAACAAACAACCGCTCGGAACGTGCTTGATATTCACGGGCCCAGGTGTGCAAAGCTGCACTTTGGAATTTTGCTTGCGGAACACAGGCTTCCAAATCACCAGCGCTAGTCTGCGTACAACCTTAAGCACCTCTCAAGCCACTCGGAACAAGCCCTTGGGCCCTTGAGGATGTCATCTTCAACCTTTACAGTAAGCAAGCTTCCATCTGTGTAGTCAGCAGCGCCATCTGCTGCAAAGGCATGAGTGATTTCGTGGTCTTCGGCCAGACACCGAACAGCCTGCGGTGCCGACCATCGCGCGGGTCGCTCTCAGGCTCCAGACGTGACAGTCTCCAGGACGCCAGTAACATGAACGGCTGCAGCGTACTCCGGGTCAGAAGCTTCTTCAGCAGAAAGGGCGACAATCCACCCACGATGGCACGGCTGCAGCGACCGTCAGACCAGAAAGTTCCGCTGAAGTCGCAGATGTCGCGCTGCGTGTTCAGGATCTCCTCGTCGAAGATCTTCCAATTGAACTTGCTGTGCTCGTCCGATCCCTCCTGGCAGACTTTCCACGCCAGCTTCCATCCGCCATGACAGTTCTCATCCAGCACCACCGTGGTAAGTAGCGCAAGAAGCCATGCAGAGAACAGGCGGAACATCATGAGAAGCCTGTCAGCTTTGACACCCGTTAAGTCGGAGAACTTCTTGGAGATCCTCGCGGCAAGCACCATGTCAATGAGGACTGTCTGCACAGGCGCTGTCCTGTGGATAAACTTCAGCATGTCGTCATTGAGATCCCAGGTGTTCTGTGCTGGAAGGGACTGTGCAAATGCAAAGGAGATGGACGGCAAGGACAAGAAACTCACAATGCAGATCCAGAGAATCCAAGCGCCGACTCTCTGCACCCTTTCCCTCCAGCCAAAGTGAAGATCTACTTGCTGGCTTTCACGGGCCACGGGGATCGCCGCGAGGATGCTTCGAAAGAAGAGCTGCAGGGCACACCAGGATGCAATGACACCCAGGTCGGGCCAGGGCCTCTCCGCTTGGAGGTCTGCAATGGTGGTTTGAAACAAGAGAGGGCTGCAGTCGTAGTACTTGCCGCTTATCCCGAAGATCAGCAGAAGGGGGCTTGAAAGCAGAAACGCGATGAAAGCACTGCGTATCCTTAGCCATGCGATGCGAAGTGGGGGTCATTAAGTGCTAGCTGATATCAAGATGGCCAACATGTGTAACAATTCTGCGTGAATTAATTTAGGGCGGAATAAGTACTAACAGCATTCCCAGATGGTCCCTGTTGAAAAATATGCAACAACAACAACTCCCCAACACCCTATTCTAATTATTCAGGTCCCTATATTAATCGTTTTGTGGCTCCAAACGAGTCCATCTCCGCCTGGCCACAGTGCCAGGCTAGAGGAAACCACTCGAGCACAGGAAGTTCCGTCCAATCTTCCAGAGGCCTCCGACAGCCGTGCTCGCAGCTGTCGGCCACAAAATGTCGCACCTGGCTCCACAGTCATGCTATGCTGGCCAGAGAGGCATATTTTTGCAAACCCTCGCGCCTAGAACTTACTCGCCAGGTCCGAATTGATGTACCTCAGACGATGTAAAGATACTTCTCAGCAACCGAGGCGCCAATGGTCAACGTCAGAAGAAGCCCTGCCAAGACAAGCGCATGGGACTTCTGTACATTCGGCGAGTAGTAAAGAAATGGTTGGAGTTCCTCCTCCGATATCCAGGACGAAGCCAGGGGAGTTCCATCCCCGAGCATGTTCCCCATAATCACTAAGCTCAGAACCGTACTGTTGCTGATGAATTCTGGGACAGCGCACGAAAAGCGGTTGTGGTGCAGAGTCAGCTTCACAAAGTCATTGAGGTGGCAGGTTTGCATCTTTTGAGGACAGTTCGCTTCAAGCTGCTGACGCTCCTCGTCTGTCCACCAGTTGCGATCAGGGAAGTTTTTGCAGTTATAATGATAGCCCTCCAGCCTGAATCTGGAGTTGTCCCAGCACGCGAACGTCAGCTTCAAGCTACCGATCCTTCCTCTCACGGCATTGTCATGGAGCGTCAAGACACTGAGGCGACTCAGATTGCGCAAACTTTCGGGAAGCACGCCCGTCAAGGCATTCTTATGCAATGACAGAACTGACAGCCGTGAAGCCCTAATCTCGGGAAGGGAGCCGCGGAAACGGTTGTTGTTCAGCGCCAGAAAAGTCAAACTCTCAAACTGCATCAGGCAGGGAGGTAGCTCGCCAGAGAAGCGGTTGTGGTTCAGTCGCAGCTCCTGCAGCACTCCGCCCGTAGGGGTCATCCTGCAGAAGAAGTCAGTAATGCTTGATATGCCCCCGGCTATCTCATTATGGCTCAAATCCAGCCGTTCGAGCCGATTCGTGAGGAACTGTACCGAGAGCTCGTCGCGAAAAGCGTTGCTGCTGGCGTCCAGTACTCTCAGGGCGGGCATCTTCAACACAGCTGGAAGTTTCTGCAGCTGGTTGTGCTGCAGCAAGAGCTCTCTCAGCTCTTGCATGTGACAGACTTCGTGAGGGATATCACCTGACAGCTGGTTCCACGACAGGTCAAGGCTTTTCAAGCTCAGCTGGCCGAGCTCCCGGGGCACTTCGCCCACCAGCTGGTTCTGAGAAAGGACCAACTCCTCCAGGTTGTAGAGAGCGCCGAGCTCACGCGGGATTTCGCCAGTGAGCTGGTTCTGGGACAGGGAGAGCGCTCTCAGGTCCTGGAGCTGTCCGAGCTGCCGGGGAATTCTGTTGGTCAGCTGGTTCTGGGACATATACAACCAGGACAGGTTTTCGAGCTGGCCGAGCTCCCGTGGAATTTCCCCCGTAATCTGGTTGTCAGAAAGGTGACACCACCGCAAGCTTCGGAGCTGGCCAAGCTCCGTGGGGATTTTCCCCGTCAGCTTGTTGTTCTGAAGGCCCAAACGAGTCAGTTTCTGAAGCTGGCCAAGCTCCGGGGGAATTTCGCCTGTCAGATGGTTCTGGGAAAGGTACAGCCAACTCAGGTTCCGGAGCTGGCCCAGCTCTGCAGGGATTTCGCCCGTGAGCTGGTTCCCATCCAGTAGGAGAATCTCCAGTTCTTCCAGTTGGCCGAGCTCACGGGGAATTTGGCCTTGAACACCGGCGTGCTGGAGACGAAAATTTATGACTCTGTCCTGGGCATATGCTTGGGTCTTGGAGGGTGCGTCCAGTACTGGAGGAGGCTCAAGGAGCCCCTCCCCCCCCCCTCCCCTCCCCCCCCTTCCCCCCCCCCTTCCCCCGCCCTCGCCACAGGGTCCTCGGAATCGCAGACCATCCTGGCCCTCCCTAAGTTGTTCGGGCAGGGATGTCTGGCCTGGATGCCGGCTTCGCGGGCGGGGATGCCCAGCGTTTCAAGAATCACTCGGAGCGCGGCCTCCTCAAAATCCGGAGGAACTTTGCAGAAGACTTGCAAGTGGGAAACGGGAGCGTGCCTTTAGGGCCCTACTGCAGGGCTTTTAAAGTTAAAGCGCATCTTTTTTTGGGGGGGAGAGAATCCGAAGCCCTAACTGTGTGTCGCTGGTGTCTCTCATGCGGAAACTCTCACATCTCGGACTACCCAATGCGAAGTTCAGTCTCGGCTCTGAAAGACTTTATGTGTCGACAGGCTTTGCTTACTGAATCTCAGTTGCACCTTTTTAATAAAAATTCTACACTACTTGCAAAGACCGAAGCAAGCCCATCCTGAGTCGCAAAGGCCACTACCACCAGCGCAGCATACCGGCCACACGTTGTCAGAGGTGACATTGAGGGGCGGGAAAGAAACAAAGGCGCGGGCAGTAGCTGGAATCGCAGACTCAACGAGAAGGGGATTCGTTGCCGGCTCCAGTATGGAAAACCGCCGACTTTAGAGCACGACAACCACTTTCTGTGCCCATCTGAGGACAAATGCCGTAGTTTGGGCCGCGAGCTTTTCAAGTCAGACATGGTCAAACCTTTCAGTTCTTGTATTCAAGAGCCCCCCATCTCTGTTTGGAAGCCTCAAGCACCCAAAAACAGGTCCAGCAATTGCCTACTGTGGCCCTCTAAGCTCCGAAAAGCCCCCTGTTTTTCTTCACCAGACTCTAAACCCCACCCCTAAACTCCCCTTTTTTCCTCAAACCTTGTATGTCGTCCCTTGCTTCAGTTCTCGGACGAGGGCTAGCGGGTTAGTTCCGGTGTTTCGAACCAAGGGTGGCATCTTCCCTTATTAGGGGGTGGGGGGGGGGGGGGGGCTAGGGTAGGGCTGGGCTGACTTCCCCAAGCCCAAACCCTCAAAAGCCTAAACCTTAAAACCCTGTATGGGCCAAAAAGCCCTAGGCCATGAAACGCGGAGGCCTAAATCCCTACAATGCCCAGACCCGAAACCGAAACCGCCCCGCAGCCACACCACAGGGGGAGGAGGACGGGGGGTTGACCCTGAAGCCCTTAAAGCCTGCAAACCCTAACACGTTAAAAGGAGTGCTGAGGGAACCTGAACCCCTAAAACCCTCCGCCCTAAAAAGCTAAGCCCAAAAACTCCTGAATCCTCGGGAGGGCCAAGGGGGCGCCCCGGAGCACGTCTATAATGAGTATCCTAGCTTGGCGTTTCTGCAGGCCGATCACTTCAAGGTTCAGGGATACATGGCACGTGGCACATCCTGGTACCGAGTTGTCGGAGTCTCCTGGAGGCCCTTTCAGGTTTCCCAAGCTAGGGGTGAGGGGTTTGAAGCTTCAACCCGATTCAACCCAAAGGATCCCCTCACGACCTCCACCATTAGAGAGCCGCTTAGGGTGGTTCGGGTTTCCTTTCGCTCAGCTTTGCACAGCAAAGCTCGTCATCTCGACCACCTCGACCTGGCTCTCCATGACAGAACGTGCCCACACGCGTCGCTTCACGAAGCCGATGGGCAAGTAGCGCTTCGCCCACGGGCCCATCAGCACCAGTGTGAAGGCCAGGAGCACATGACGTCCAGCCATCTGGGCGCTGAAAGCATGCCAGAGCTGGAAGAGGGACCCTGCTCCCAGCGCAAAATGGAGATACGACGCAGAGATCGTAGCGCTCTCGTTGATCTCATCTGAGGGAAGGCAAGTGCCGTAGAAATGAGTGCCCAGGTGGAATAGGAGCAGGTTTGCCACAGCAGCTGCCAGGACTCCAACGCTAAGGAAGGGGGCTAAAGGAGACCAAGTAATCAAAAGCTCCTTGGTTGCACCGTAGAGTAGGGCAAGGTGGATCATGACCACACCTCCCACACCATGTTCCCCCACACGTACAAACCCACATCCCCCCACCCCCCGCCCCCGAAAGCCCCATACAGCTCAAAGCAAGAGCCTCTCCTCCCTAATGGCCTCAGAACTCGGATGCCTATGAACTCTCAGAAACAAGCTGCCATATGTGTGGTCAACAGGGCCATCTGCTTTAAGGGCTCGAGGTGTCCGGTTGTCTTGGGCCAGATACCAAAGAGCCTGCGGTGGCGGCCTCGCTGGGGATGGGTGGTCACATCCAGACGTGACAGCCGCCAGGACACCAATAAGATCAATGGCTGCAGCGTGCTTCGAGTCAGAAGCTTCTTCAGTAAAAACGGCGTCAACCCACCCACAAGGGCACGGCTGCAGCGGTCTTCGGCCCAGAGAGCAAAATTGCTGTCGCAGATGTCTTGCTGCGTGTTCAGGATCTCCTCGTCGAAGATCTTCCAGTTGAACTTGCTGTGCTCCTTCGCTTCCTCCTGGCAGACTTTCCACGCCCGCTTCCATCCGCCAAGGCAGTTTTCGTCCAACAGCAACGTGGTCAGCAGTGCCAGCAGCCATGCGGAGAACAAGCGGAACATCATGAGCAGCCTGTCAGCCTTGACTCCAGTCAACTTGGAGAACTTGGCTGAAATGGGCGCGGCCAGCGCCATGTCAATGAGGACTGTTAGCAAAGGAGCCGTCGCGTGAAATATCCTCAGCATGTTGTCGTCGAGGTCCCATGCGTTCTGTGCCGGGAGCGACTGGGCGAATGCGAAGAAGATGGATGGCAATGACAGCACACTCACGACCAACGTCCAGAGAAGCCACGCGCCGATCCTCGATAGACTGCACGTGCTGCTAAGAGAGTCGGAGGGGTGGCTGTCGCCGCTCTCGTTTCCGACTGTGACCCTCGGCACGCTGGCCACAATGCATCGAAAGAGAAGCTGCATGGCACACCAGCACGTGATGACGCCCAAATCAGGCCACACGGTCTCTGCCTTCAGGTTCCCGATCGTTGTTTGCCACAGGGGAGGGCTGCAGGCATAGTATCCGCCAGTGATGCCGAAGATCAGCAGGAGCGGGCTTGCCACCAGAAGAGCACCGAGGGCACTGCTCATCCTCCGTGGTTTGTGAGCATCGGCTACAAGCTTAAGTGCAGAGTTTCGGGTGGATTGCCTGAGGGTGAAGGATACCTGACACGAGCAAAAGGGTACCTTTCATCTCCTTTGCCACCTGGACACAGCGCAACAGTTGATAGAACCACACGTGCTCTGGCATCTGGGTGCAACTTCCGAGATGCCTCGACCAGTATTCCCGCAAACCGCCTGCCGCAGAGAATCGCACCTTGGCATCCAGACGACTACCAATTCTTGAGAATATGGAGAACGTCGTTTCCCGCGGAGATTGACATGAATCACATGAACCCAGAACGTGCGATGAAGAAGCACTCCAAAAGCGTGACTCAGGTAGAACTGGGGCGCAGCTCAACAACATCAGAAAACCCAGCAAGACAAGAAAGTTGGACATGAGCACGTTGGGAGAGTAATAAAGAAAGGGCTGGTGCTCCTCCTCCAAGATCCATGTACAAGCCAGTGGACTTCCATCACCGAGCATGTTTCCCATGACTGCCAAGCTTAAAACCTTGCTTTCACCTTGGTAGCCCAGTAACCATCTTATGATAAGGGTATATTTGGTTTTAAGACTCTTTTGGTTGCTTACTTTATTTGGGAAACCAGAACCAAAAAAAGGTAAAGGGCACCACTGGGCTTCCAAGTTACTGATGCGATCTGGAATGGCACAAGAGAAGCGATTGTGGTGCAGCGTCAGCTTCGCGAAGCCGAATGCGGGGCAGGATCCAAACGTCTTTGGGCAGTTTGCTCGGATTTGTTCCATTTCCTTCCTTGGTAGCCGAGCAACCTTCGACCCTTTTTGGGGTTGCTTACTTTATCAGGGAGCCTTGAACCAAGAAAAAAAAACAGGGGCACCTCTGGGCTACCCAGCTTCTCAGTTTTGGTGTCTGACCACTTCACAGCCTCCCGGCAGTCATAGTTGAAGGCCTGGAGCCTGAACTTCGAGTTGTCCAAACATGTGACACTCAAATTCAAGGCCCCGATCTTACCGCCAATCGAGTTGTCGTGGAGGGTCAAGATGCCGAGGCGACTTAGGTGGTACAAACTTTCGGGGAGCACTCCCGTCAAGGAATTCTTGTGTAGCGACAGAATGGAAAGCTGTGAAGCACTGATTTCCGGAAGAGAACCGCGGAAATGGTTGTTGTTCAGCGCCAGAAAAGTCAAACTCTCAAACTGCATCAGGCAGGGAGGTAGCTCGCCAGAGAAGCGGTTGTGGTTCAGTCGCAGCTCCTGCAGCACTCCGCCCGTAGGGGTCATCCTGCAGAAGAAGTCAGTTATGCTTGATATGCCCCCGGCTATCTCATTGTGGCTCAAATCCAGCCGCTCGAGATGATGAGTGAGGAGCTGCACCGAGAGCTCGTCGCGAAAAGCGTTGCTGCTGGCATCCAGCACTTTCAGGGCGGGCATCTTCAAAACAGCTGGAAGTTTCTGCAGCTGGTTGTGCTGCAGCAAGAGCTCTCTCAGCTCTTGCATGTGACAGACTTCGTGAGGGATCTCACCTGACAGCTGGTTCCAGGACAGGTCAAGGCTTTTCAAGCTCAGCTGACCGAGCTCCCGGGGCACTTCGCCCACCAGCTGGTTCTGAGAAAGGACCAACTCCTCCAGGTTGTAGAGAGCGCCGAGCTCACGCGGGATTTCGCCAGCGAGCTGGTTCTTGGGAAGGGAGAGCACGTGCAATTTGTAGAGCTCTCCAAGCTCCCTAGGAATTTCGCCAGCGAGATGGTTCTGAGCAAGTTCTACCCGGCGCAGGTTCAAGAGTAGGCCGAGCTCCTCCGGAATGTTGCCGGTCAGCCGGTTTTCTGAAAGCTTAAGCACAGACAGTTCCTGCAGCTGTCCCAGCTCCCGTGGGATTTCGCCTGTGAGCCTGTTGCAGGTAAGGTCAAGCAGTGCGAGGGCCCTCAGCTGCCCAAAGTCTTTGGGGATTTCGCCCGTGAGCTGGTTGTGCGAAAGAAGTAGCTGCTGCAACTGCCCAAGATGGCTGAGTTCGCCAGGTATTGGGCCTGTCAGCTGGTTGCTGTCGAGCCTCAGGTTCATCAAGCTCTGGAGCCGGCCAAGCTCTTCAGGGATCTGGGCACTTAGCTGGTTGTTCCCAAGATAAAGTGAGGACAGGTTCTGCAGCTGGCCCAGCTCTCGAGGGACTTTGCCCGTCAACGTGCTGTAGGAGAGGTCAAGTTTTTCCAAGCTCCGGAGCTTGCCAAACTCCGGAGGGATTCCGCCGCTAAACTGGTTGTGGGTGAGGAGAAGCCATTTCAGGCTCTGGAGCCCGGCCAGCTCTCGGGGAAGCACGCCCGTCAGCTTGTTGACGGGAAGAAAAAGCCACGTCAATCTCTGGAGCTGGCCGAGTTCCCCCGGTATTTCACCGGACAGCTCGTTCTCGCCCAAATCCAGGGTTTCAAGCCTCTGCAGACGGGCGAGCTCCTGGGGAATGGTGCCGGTCAGATGGTTCCGGGAAAGGCGCAGCCGCTCCAGATGTTGGAGTTCACCAAGCTCAGGGGGAATGCGTCCGTGTAGCTTGTGGCCCGCGAGATCCAAGCTTATGATCCGATCCTGAACATGCACTGGTGAACCCACGATTTCCTAGGTGGATCCACAAATGGCTACATGAATGCAGAAGGACTCAGACGTCGCCATACCTGGATCGTGCTCTGCTGGAATCTATCGAAGCAAGTTCTGCGCGTTGACAGAATTGACAGGTTTTTTACTCGCGTTATCAGCTAAGCTAGGCGCCGACTGAAAAAGACAATTAAATATCTTTTAAACCCTAGATCCTAACCCTAAACCCTAAACCCTAAGACCCCAACTTTAACCGAGAAGTCCTGGCCATCGCAGGTGATGCTCGATGCATAGCAGCGAGTGCTCGCCATCGACTCGGCGTCCGCAGTGGACATGCCAAGGGTTCGGAGGATGTCTCGCAACAGCCCATCCTGCGAATTTCTATGTAGGGTTTCTCCCTCTCTAGGGCTTAGGGCTTTTTGCCACCCGCCAAGCAGGCACGCCGCACTGCAGGGCAACATTTCGGGATGACAGACGAAGAGGTTGGTTGCTGAGGAGGTATCAACACGAAGCTTCCAGCAGACCGTTCAGGGTCAGCCAAACATAACCTCGCTTCGGGTCCAACTTTCCCCTCTACTTCGAGTCCAGGATTCGGGGCAACGTTCTTTTTGTTGCCCCGACTCCCAGTACTAGCGTCTGGGGTTTCCGAAAATAGGGGTACCCTGTCTGGGGGTCCCTTTAAGATCCAAGCCCCAAAGGACGCAATCATTTGCGAGTCCAAGGCCCCCAACACTGGCACTCTGACCCTCGCAAGGAAAGCCCTGCCTGAGCCGAAGCACCCTTCACCACCATCAGCGCCAGGAAAGCCCACTGCATGGTAGATACCCTCAACCAGAAACCCTAAACCCTAAACTCTAAACCCTAAACCCTAAACTAAAGAGAGCAGGGAGGGGTGCCCCCTTGGTGGGGGCTGTCGGGGGCTGTTGGGGCTGCTGTGCCTCGAGCAGCTTTGGCTGCGGGCGCCTCTGCCCTCTGCTACGGCAGATGCGTGTGTACATTATATACATATATATATATATATGTGTGTATATATATGTTGGCATCAGAAAATATGTACGTACATATTTTAAACAATGTATATATACATACACATATATATGGGTACATGCCTATCCCCCCCTTACCTTTTCTGCAATTCCTGCGTTTGCCCAACCGTACCAACGTCCCAATCATTTCGGCCCATGGTTTAAGGCTTGAATGCCTGGACCTTAAACCCTTAAGGTTAAAACTCTATGCGCTTAAGTTTAAACTCCTAAATCTTAACGCCTAAACCTTTAAACCTGAACCCTATGGGGTTTAAAGGTTAACGGTTTTGGTTTATTTGCCGGCTTAAGTTTAAATGCCTAAATATTAAACCCTAAACCATTAAACCTTAAACCCTATAGGGTTTAAGTTTAAGGGTTTAGGTATAATTGACAGCTTAGGCTTAAATGCCTACATCTTAAACCCCAAGCCATTATCATGTATACATCTTGGAATAGGGTCTGACCTGAAGTCTTAATCGAATAAGGCGTTGATATATCCGAGCCTTAAACGAGTAGGGTTTATGAGCTGTTTACCTGTGATGCTTGAGGCTAGTTTATAAATGAGTCTTATCCTGAAAAAAGATAACTCTTTTGGGGGACCCTTTGGGGAACATTGAGATGCAAACCCACATACTTGCGAGCAAGTCGGGCTTTTGGTAGGCCCAGAACCCGGATCACAGGGAAAGGATATTTGCTCACAGTATTCTTCCTTCCCCGGGGCCTACATGCAATAGATTTATTCGCATCACCCTATGCCCTCAAATGCTTCCTAGTCTTATGGGCGTTTCCGGCTGGTAGGGTTTTAGATGTTTGCGGTGACTGCGTTTATAAGCAGTGGCTGTGTTTATAAACATGGATGTGTTTAGAAACAGTAGCTACATGGCTGTGCTATAATTATTAGGCTACGGTATCCAGACACGGAAAGAGTGGCTACTGTATGAAGACATTGAAAGAGTGGGGGGGGGGGGATGGGCGGCAGCCCACATATATAAATATAAATATGTAAATATATAAATATATATTTATTTATTTATATCTATATTTATATTTATATATATATATGTATATTATCAGCTTTGGGTCGAACGCCATGCCCAGCATGATCCTGAAAAATTGTTCCGGAAAGGACCTCTTGACCCACCATGAGATCTAGAATTGGAGAGCCTGTCATAGGCACAAGGGGTTCGGCTCTTGGGCGCATGCGGGAGTCCATCTCTGGCTCGGACCTAGCCATGGTTTGGGCGAGTCGTGTTGCGCGGCCTTGTAGATTCCCGGGTTTCAACACGCACTCAATGGCCTCAGGCTGACTTGCATACTGGGTTTCAAGGCCATGTGTACAATGGAAAAACGCTCCACGACTATTTATTTGCCACACCTGAGCCACTTGCGATCTAGCCTTGTGCTTCAGGTTTCAAGCACGCGGATGGGAAAGCTACATGGACATCAGGAACCACTGACGAAAGAAGATGTCTTCCGGAGACTCAGGCCGGGCAGCTCTAGTCGGGCAACTGCTTTAGTTCGGGCGTCTGGGAAATTGGGGGGGGGGGGGGGGGGCGCAACTTCGGGCGTCAGGGCTTGCAATGGGTGCTTTCATTCAATAGGATTTTGGGCATGTTCATGTTCATGTTGCCAACATACGTCCTTGAAGGCATGATGCTAGATGCAGTAAGAAGCAGCTCACACTTAGACAGTTATGTTAGCAAACCGGTCCAGGCATCCAAAACTGTGACACTCGCATCCCTCGCACGAAACGTGCCAGCAGCACTGACGTGCTGGCGGGCTGGTCGCCGTACAGCGCCGGGGGCGAATTCATGGCCTAGTAGATCTGTTCCGATCAAAAAGAGAGACTGTGCATAAACATACAGATGTGGAAATTAGGTGTATATATCCACATGTATGTATACGCATGACGTGTATCAAGTGGTTAGCATGTTGACAAGGTTGCAAGGTAGTGAGGCGGGGCTTGGAGGAGCCAGGCCTGCCTTCGTTGGGGCCCACACACGTTCCTGCTCCCCAAATTATGCCACTTCGCACCATCCTGAAGCCCACAAATAAGCAAGTCTGTGCACCCAAACCATCGACAAGATTATGTCTTCCCTAAATCCTAACCCCTATAAACGTTCACGAGCTGTTTTCGCTTTTCTCCACGCCATCTGCTCCGCCGGCTTCGGAGGCGATCGGCCCAAGCTGGGAGAGCACCACCTGCATTTTACAATCTCAGGTTTAGGCGCGTAGGGTTTAGGATAGGGGTTCTTTGTGGGATGTAGGGTGCAATTGAGCAAGTAGGGGTTGTAGGTTTCATTTGTTTCTAGCACCCTCTTCCACACCTAAACATAAACCTTGCCATCGCCGAACCAACTGCACTAGAGGCCGTGCGCACTCCGAGGTGTTTCACTCTACAGTCTGTAACCTCTTAATGCGCACTTCTGCCAGGAGAATGTTCGCGCAAAGCACCTTCAAAGCCGGCCTTACTGGTCCTAGCAATTCAAGAGTGGCCCTGTAACCCGAAGCCACAAAACCTAGACCCACAAGCCGTTGGCACTATAGGGCATGAGCCGTAAAGAGACTTGTGTACTGCTGTACCTCCCTGGAACCATCGGCTCGCGCTGAGCAGGCCCTATTCCATCCTCAGGTAGAAGCCTCTAATAAGCACATAAGTTCAGGACCTATGTGTACCATAAAACTGAAACCCTGCGCCATCTCATCCTTCGAGCGGGCCCGGCTTCCCCTAACCTTGTTCCCGATTCCTGCTTTGCTTATTTTTGTTGTTGCCCACCACAAACCCTATGAACATCTATGAACCCAAAGCTTGTCTCTGGCCACGCGCACGTACCTCAAGCTCTTCCGGGAGTGGTGCAGAGGCGATGAACTGATGACCTCGGACGAGGTTTGCGCTCAGGGTGTACTGCCTGCAGCATGTCATCAGATGCTTCCAACAAAAATGGCCACCCGCCTGGCACTGCCAAGCGGGGAATACATTTAGAGGTTCGGGGCTTAGGGTTCAGGCTGCACTGCCTGCATACACAGCATGGATTTTCAGCTGCAGGGGTCCAGGATATCGAGGGCATTTATTTCGCTGTGGCTGGGACTTTCCGGGGTTCAGTTATCACTCACGTGGGCATTCTTCTGCAGAAGTCAGGCTTTCAAAGCTGGCTTTCTGGAACTTGACTGGAAGGACCCCTCCAAGGGTTTAAAGGCTTAGGAACTTCGAGTAAGCCACCGCTTGGTGGGTTTTGTCCCATACCATGGTGAAGAACAAGCTTGCCTTACACGGTACAGTACCCAGCCCTTCAACTAGGGAATAGGAAGGTCCCTGTTTAAGAGAGCCAGAAGAGGGTTAAGAAGGGTTCCCTTTTAAGGGTCCCCCTTATCCTGCCTGGGATCAACTTAAGTTTAGTGTTTACCCTGGACACCACATCTTGCCTCCAGTCCCGGGTCCCAAACAGTTCCCAATCCCTCACGTGCCCTGGAATTGGAGCAGAGAAGCCTTGTAGATCTCGCAGTTCGATTCTCTCGCAGTGCAGCCAGAGCCGCGGGCAGTATGGAAGACACCTGGGCTCCCCCCTAAAAACGGATGACTCAAATCCTTCTTGTTGAATCAAATGGAAGGGGCTGATGAGATTTTGCAGGTCGGTCTGCTACACCCCCTCGAGCCCTCACACTCGTGCGCGGACGGTTATGTGAAGGCTTCGGGTGGGGTAGGGGGTAGGGAATCATCTCCGGGACCTTTCCTGAATTTCTCCAAGGCGCGACTGCCATCGCCGTCCGTAAGTCAGATCTCCGACCACGTGTCGGCCGATCTCAGCTGGGAGTTCGGAACCCGGGGCTTGGAGATTCCGGCGCTGGCTTCAGGGATACAAGAACGGGCGGTCCCTGAGCCAAGAAGATTTTTAAGCACTCTAGACCCTCAGCCTCAGGCAGCTTTCTCTCTATGATTTGCTTGAAGCTTGATTGCATATCTAGCAAACAAAAAACAAAGATAAACATGATGTTCTGGCCACGAATGAAATCAACCACTGCTCACAGCCGAAAGCACGGCGGCAAAGTGCACGCGGATCTGGTGCCTCCGCCCTGTGAGCAGGCGCACACGGAGGAGCCTGACTTCCCAGGGTGAGGGTTTCTGCAATGGTCCGGGCATGCCAGGCGACTGAGGGCTGAGGCCTAGACGGCTGAGGGCTTTGAGAAGTTTGTTTAGAGTTGACCTGCGTTGTTCAGCTGGTCAACAGAACGTTTTGCAGAGGCTGCCCTGCTTGAACGCACCTTTTGCAAGGACGGCTACAGTCACAAGCCATGTCGCCGCAGGCTAAGGACAAGAAGTCCGACACAACTGACGGGACCGCTGTCATGCATCCTGCGGCCGTTGTCCGGAGGTTTTGTGTTCCGAAAACAATGCAGAGGCCTACAACACCGAACTCTACGCCAAGCCCGTGATGAAACAACCACAATAATCCCAGAAGCCCGGTCTGCATACCCAAAAACCGAGCAAATATCCGGTACACCGCCAGAATGAAAAGTCCGAGATGTTGAGCCCAGTAGCATCAGCTCGTCACCTGAGGTCGGGCATCAAGGGGCTAACTAGCTTCCACCCTTTACGGACCTCTGAACTCATCTTAAACCTTCTAGCGTGGGCCTTTCTAAGGGTTCACTTTCCTGCCTGGCAGCAGGGTGAAAAACAAAGACATGTCCGCTATATACCAAAATGCATGTGCATATATATATATACAAATATATATATATATATATATATATATATATATATATATATATATATATATATATATATAAACTTGATGTTTCTCTTGGAATAGTCTCGTACGCACGAAGCACGACTCGGCATGGCATTGAAGCACGCTGATGCTTCTGCGATTCTAGATAAGCAGGAGCCCCTTTCACAAAGCCAACAGACCTTCCCCATAAATCCTTCCTCCGATGCTGAGACTTTAGACCCTCCAAACCACAACCCCCCCCCCCCCCCCCCGACCCCAAGCCTCCAAAAAAAATGACGCGCCTTGGCCCTGGAGGCCGGCGAAGCGCTCGAGGACCCGGAACTCGGTTCGCGCGGGGCGGCCGTGGGCGACGACCTCGAGGCTTAGGGGCTTCGGTAAGGCTTCCAAGGTTTGGCTGCTTTTCTTCATCCCCTATATTGGCTTTGTGAGGGCTTCGTGACGTCTAAGCCCCGGACCAGCCCAAACCCCTTAAATGGTGAAGCAGCAACTCCGGCACCCGGGCCTCGCTCCGCCCCATTGAACCCGCGACGTCCCGGAGCCTTGGCCACAGCCCCTAGAGGATCCCGGAAAGCACAAGTCACAGGGGGTTCCCCGAAGCCCAAGCCGTTGGCGACAACGAAGTGAGGCGCAACCCCAAGCTTGAAATCGGAAAAAAGGGGCCTGCGGGGTGGTCTTTGAAGCTCCTTGTAGTCGTCGGTCTGACACGGGGTCAGTTGCCAAGACGATCCCGAAAGCACCGACATCCTGCCAGCCCTATCTGTCCCAACCGTACAAGCCCGATAAACCCTGACTTCTGAAATACCCTAAGAGCCACGCACAGCCACGCGCCCTAAGCCCTTTCCTCCAATGCCAGCAAGCTGCGGCAACTCAATGCATCCCTCGGCACCCACCGGCCCCAAAGCCGGACCTCGTGATGCACGCGAGGGATGTGCTGGGAGCCTTTTCATAACCTGACACCCCGAAAGGGTCCCACTAACGAGTCCCCTTTTTGGGTGTTGCTTGGGGTTTTTGGGAGGCTTCTGCAAAAACTGATCGCGTACTTGGGAGGTCTGTTCAACAAAGGTTTCATCTTGGCCACAGATCCATCGACGCCCCAAGCCTCAACCCCACTCCTATGCCACCTATGTCTTCCCAAGTGCTGTGGGGGTTACTACAGTCATCCCTTCCCCCTGAAAACAACCCCCCCCCCCCTGCCAAGGCTTTCATATTAGGGAGGGATCACCCCAAACACGAAGGGTCAGGGTCTCGGGACAAAGAGCTCCATCAGAGCGCCTTCGACCAGGCAGAGATAGTCTTTCTCCACCAGGCGGGCCGCAAACTGTGCCTGGATCCACCTGCACACAGCTAAAAAGAGGTTGCCGCTGGAGATTTCAGAGTGCTGGGGTCGACAACTCTGTCTCCGTACGGTAATTAGCCTGTCATGCCTTATAAGGTCCTTTTGGTGCAGACGACTGAACCTTTTTGCAACCAGGCCTCGGTAGATCGCTGGGCACTTGCAAAGCCCTTTCTTGTAACCACCCTAAACCCTCTGTCCCAAACCCAAATCTCTTAAGGCCCGTCAACCAAACTGCTGAAGCGCCACTTGAACGCGACGGAGGCCATGTCGCCCAAAGCCACGGGAAGTACTCCCGACGTGGGAAAATCAAGCCGCGATACCTCGGAATCTTCTGGATCGTGCTTGCTGGATGCTGAGTGCTGGCGGCGTAGGCATATTACCCAGTAATCTCGTACGACCCTCTGTAGGGGGGTCAAGCATGAATTTAGACTCTGATTTCGAGCAGGTTGGCTGAGTAAAAGGTCCCAGCCACGCTCTCCAACCTCACGCCCAGCCGACCAGAAAGCTCGTCAAGGATAGCCTGCGCTCGGCTGGTTCTGGGGGCGTAGAAGCACTCACGTCCACAGGCTCTTGCCAATACAGAGGCTTACAGGAGACCAAAGGTCTGGTTTTTGTCCGGCTTGCCGTGCGGCGGAGCGATGCAGGGCTCAGACAAGCTACCAGAGGAGCGCGACCAGGTCCCTTGAACATATTGCAGCCAAGAGGGTTGAAGCCATTGAGCCTGAAACCGGCTCTTTAACCCCTGACCCCCAGACCCTCTCCCAAAAACACCAACCCAGCAGACCCTCAAAGTCGAAGGCCACCCCGGGAGATCTCAGGAAGCGCCTCGCTGCTCCGGCCTGATGGCTTGGACAGGGCCGCCACCCCAGCGCCCCGAGCTAGGACCTCTGCTAGGCAGTCGAGTTGCCGAGGATCTCTCTTGCCATCCACATAGCTGGACATGTAGCGATTCTAAGGTCTATAGGCTATAGGCTATAGGTCTTAAGGCGCTTCGGATTCAAGCATTCAAGCGACAGAACACGAGGGAAAGTTCTGCCATGGCCAGCTGGGCGGCACCCGGAGAAGACCAGCCGGCACCTTTCCAAAAAAGACCCCAAAAGCCCAAACCCGGCCCCCAAGCCACAAACTGTCCCCGCTCCAGGCAAGCTCGAGCCATCCCTGGAGTTCTGAAGAGATTGCCGCGGACGCGGCCTTCCAGCTCATCTGACACTGAGGGATCCGCCCCAGCTTCACGCCGCCACTTGTCCCTTGGAGCTTTAGGGACCGCAGGGCCGGATGAGTCGCAAGTCTCGGCTTTTGTTGCTGGGACATCTCAAGGGGGCGAATGTGCCAACAGAACTTCCAGGTCCAGGAATAAGCTAAGGGTTCAGCCACTCCAAACACCCCCAAACAGCTGGGGGAGTCTTGAAGGCGGGGGGGATGTTTTGGGCTTCTACGTCTTGGACTGCACCGGCCAGGCTGCTCAGGTTGAGATACCCACCCTCGTTGCCAAAATCCATCATTGCAGTTGAGGCACCGCACGGCCTCCAGCAGATGCCAGGCCGCCTCCTGGCCCTTCACCCGGCGCAGGGCCTGGGTCTTGAGGCCCTGGGGAGGGATGGTGGGCTTTGGGCGTGTGTTTATGAAGCTGGGCGCTGAAAACATTGTGGCTGGAGGGTTGGCTCAGGGTTCAGGATTCGAGTGGGATCAATATTGCTTGCGTCCCAACCTCATCGATCAAGCATTGCGGAACCGCATCTCCGAACTCCAAAGCTTCATCACACTCTGGCCTCTCGGCCGAGCCCTGATTTACGGCATCCTCTCTGAGACCTGAAAGTTGGCCCTGGATCGCTCGGTAAAGCACCACAAAGCCAAGGATCGTTGGCCGCGGACGCTGCCTGCAAGGCCGTCGCCGGCAGACGCCACTGCTGCAAGCTGCACATCAAGGCCAAGCAAACCTGCAAAAGCAGCTCCGAGTTCCAGGCAGCGTTTTGACTCCTATCTTGCTTCTTCTTGGCAAGAAATGAAACAACGACCCCCCCCTCCAACACAACACAACGCAACACAACGCAACGTTGTGCACAACGCAACGTTGTGCACAACGCACAACACACAACGCACAACGCGCAACGCACAGCCCAGCACCCAATACCCAACACAACACGCAACTCACACACACGCACAGCCGACACACAACCGACTCACAACCACACACTACCAACTGACAACACACAACACACCGCACACAACGCACAACAGACAAGACACAGGACTCAAGACACCAGACACAAGACAGCACAACACAACGCAACCGAACGCACAGAACGGCACGGCACAGCACGGCACGGCACGGCACAGCACGGCACAGCACGGCACAGCACAGCGCAGCAACGCACCACAGCACAGCAAAGCACCACGTGCAACACGCCACAAATCATCCACGCAATCACAAACAGACAATCACACAAAACAGACAGGCAAGCAGGCAAGCAGGCAGGCAGGCAGGCAAACAAGCGCAGCTAAATCGGAGGGAGCATCGGGCCCAAACACTGTTTATCTAGGATCAGTCCGATACATGGGACCACTAGAAGCCCCACGTCACCTTGTCCGGTCAAACCGCCCTGAAAGACTCAAACCGCACAGCATCTGTATTGCTGGTAGCAATTCACAAAGCATCGAAAACGGAACGAGTTGAAGCTGTCACCAGCCCGCACAGACTCAGCTGGCCTGCCATGCACCGGACGTTTCCGCCGCGCTTAGCGCGGCGCTGGCAGCGACGGCGTTGGGCACAACTGCTGCCTCCTGGATTGACCCCAAAACCACAACTCTTCCAAAACCAAACGCTGCAAAGCCTTACAAAGGCTTTCAGGAGGCCTGTCTCGGTATCGGGGTTGGTTCAGACTTGATCGCACGTGTGCCTCAACACCGGAGCCACCTGACCTTCACACGCGCGTGGCATGAACCTCATGCCTTGAAAATGAAAACCCCCCAACCCCAGATCCCGGCCACTTTCTTTCCTCCCCGCCGTGTCCCTCCTGCTCAGTGCTCGATCTTGAGCCTTGTAGGCCATGAGCAACAAAACCGAGCCCCCCTGAAGCCGTCCTCCATCTCAGCGAGGAGGCCCACGGCCGACCTTCAGCGTGTCAACACTGATGGGGATTAAGGCCCCACCTGCCTTCAGCCTTCCCACCAAACACCCAAAGCTGATAGGGGCGTCAAGGTTGGTGGGGTTGGTAGGAGAGTCACAAACCACTTCATTACCCTCAACCCCCCCATCCACACAGCTCCCCTTCTCTCGCTCCTGACAGGTGGCTCCCAGGCAGCGCCGGTGTCGCAAGCGCTGATGGCACTTCCGTAGCCTCGGGCTGAAAGAAAAGAAGGGGGCCTCGTGCTCTGTGAACCTCTGCAAGAAAGCCCATCAGCATTTTCTAGCGATTCCCATACACCAAACATCCAGATGCCGAGGCTCTTTGGACATCTGGCATCAAACTGTCCTCCTGGAGAAGGACTTTACGGGCCCCAGCATCCTAAACCCTCAAGGCTTAAGCCGACATTCTGGCGGAGGCCTTCTCCCCACAGTGTATTGACCCAAAACCTGCCATGACGAAGTTCTTGGGGCAATGTTGGGGTTTGTTTTACGGTACCCAAACGGGCAAAACGGGAAGAGATAGAAACTATGATGTAGATTAGAATGAGTTCGCAAGCTGTGTGTGTTTATGATACACCTTAATGACTATGTGGGTGCTCCATGATAAGAGTTCATAAAGTGAGACATCCAGAAGATTCAGGGTTTTAGGTAGTTTTTTCTTTTGATTCTCTATCGGCGGTCAACATCGTAGTGGCACTAAATCAAAGGTCTTTGCCTACAGAAACCAGTTGTTGGGCTCATGAATCCAGATTCTGGATTCTTGGCTGGTTCCCCTCTCTTGTGCAGACGGGCTGTGCGGCTGTTCATTCAAAACCCTGGAATGCTGTCAATGAAGGAGCCACTCTGTGGGTGTTTTTTGCCAGTTCTCGTAGGGTTTAGGGTTTCTTTCCACAGCAGCCCTTGCGTGAGATCAAATAGAGAAAAGGTACACCTGCTTGCGTTTTTTTTTGGGGGTTGCGGGGGGGGGGGGGGGGGGATGATAAGCCGTGCATCTCCCCATGTGGGATTTCCATCGCTAGGTCAGACACCCTTTGCGCCGATTTGCCATTCTGATCGGGCAGCCGACTGACAGTCCTTGAGAGTCTGCAGCAGCTGCAGCGAGCATTCCCAGTGGCCGGACTTCTCACACACGTCCATGGTGCAGCAGTACCTGGGGTAGCATGGTCTTCGCCCTACTCCCATCCCATGACGCATGGCCCCGCTTCTAGGGGATTGAATGTGCTTTGACCACTGTGTCTTCCCACTGGGATGATTCTGCGTGCCGGTCAACAGTCGGACCCTGGACGGGGTCCAGGAGTCCAGCATGGTCGCCCCTATCAGTTGGTAGATTATACTTCTACTCGAGCGACATAAGCCTCCACAGCCCGCCACGCTGCACTGTTTTCAAGCTTCCTCAGCATGCAGTGTGACGTGAACGTGTCACTCTCTTGCATCAAAAGGCCTGACGCAGTTGCTATACTCCAGCAATGTTCCACTCCGACAGATGTTGATGTCAACATCGGCCATAGCTCGCACAGTCGTGAAACTTGCCCGAAGGCACCCACCATCTGCCGTCACTGCAGAGTTTACTCTGTGGAACTCTTGAAAGACTTCAGGCTTTAAGGGCTTACTCGGACGGGTATAGACTGGTCAGGGTTCACGATTTGGTACAGAGAAACTCGATGGTGGGAAAGGGGGGGGAAGTTGCCCCGCCCCAAAGCGATCACAAGCCACGTTCCCAGCCCACATTTTTGAACCCCTCATGGCGTCCCTAATAAGAACCAGGAATCTCAGGGTTTTTGCACCACCTTCCTAGCTGGCCTAGCTGACCTGGGCCACTGGGGACGCACTGCAGAGCAACCCCACTTGCGAAGGCGTAAGTCCACGTGCCTTTAAAGCCGTAGAGCAAGCTCAGCTTGTCAAAAGACGAGTCGCATGTGCAGGGCTGCAATCTACGGAAAGAGATTGTGCAACGCTTAGAAACGAAGCCCTGCTCAGAGCTCGACAGTCTCATCCTGGTACTCCTTTGCAGGCACGATCTTCTTCTCGTCGCTTGTGTTCTTGATGGTAACCTTGCCCCTCACTACAACGCCGCTTGCGAACTCCATCTTCCCCTCGACTTTGAGAGATACACATTCCTTCAGAGATGGTACTCCATTGGGAATTAGAGTTTCGAGCGCATCCACGAACTTGTAGGCATCATCCAGCTTGATCACTGGCGGAACTCCCTTGCGTTCGGGCACAAGCTCAATGCGGAAGTCCTCCGTGAGGGTGTACGCGTCAGAGCGAAGCGCGAAGAGGTCGTCGCACTTCTTCACGGGCGCAAACCGAGATCTAGGGATCTTAATGGCCTGCGCTCCATCAAAGCAGGAGATGGCAGCACCCATAGCCGTTTCCAGCTGAATTACCTTCGTGGACTTCTTATCCCTGGGGTCCACCGTCTTGTCGTTCTTCATGACCGGAAGGGGTATGAAGCCACCATGCTTCTCAAACAGCTCCTTGAGCTTGCCTAGATGAACCCAGAGGTTGTTGGTGTTGAAGTAGGTGTACTTGGTGACATCCTGGAAAGCCGCCTCGTCTTCCTTCGGGCACTGCGCGGACTCACGCAGGGTGAGGCCACCCTTCTCCTTCATGGCGGCCAGGTGCCCACCTTTCTTATCCGCGTCGGTTCGGGCCGCCACTTCCATCAAGAAAGGCGCCCCAGAGTCTGCGAAGTACGTCAGGAGGCGCAGGTCGAGGGTAGCACCCAAATTGTCGGAGTTCGACACGAACATGTACTTGATCCCCTTGGCCAAGAGCTTCTCCAAGGTTCCCGACCCAAGCATGGCCGGATAGAGGTCCCCATGCCCGGGTGGACACCACTCGTGGCTCGGCTCAGCAGGCCACTCTGCTGGTGCCAAGCCCTCGGCCGCGACCTTGGGCGCCTTGTTCTGCACGAACTGCAAGTCGTCTCCAGTGCCCAAATCTGGGTACTTGGACAGCGCCGCCATGGTGTCCGTCGAGGTGGAGAAGGAGTTCATGAGCATGAACTTGAGATCCGGCATGCTATAGGTTCCCTTCATCCACGCCACCTGCTTGGCAATGAGATCCAGAAAGGTGTTGCCGCTGGTGACCTCAAGGAGCGATTTCGCCTTGTCGAGGCCCATGCCGGTTCCCAAGCCGCCATTCAGCTTCAACACGACGGTCTCTTTCAGCAGCTCGGGTTTTGGCGTGATGTCTAGGCTGTCAAGGTCTGGGAGCGTGGGAACAGGGTCCAATGTGGCCTCAGGGATCATGGTGTCTGCACCAGAGGTGAGGACTTTGAAGTTGTACTTGAAGGCGTTGATGGCGGCATCGCTCTCGCTCTCCTTGCCGCCAGCCTTCATCTTGGCTTCATACAGTGGCCACAATGCATCGAAGCCTGTCGCCGTCGGTGCGGCTAAAGCCCCCTTCACCTTCGCAAGCTGATCTGCGGGCAACTCCTTCAATGCCGCAGCAATCTCATCAACGCTCTTTGATTCGATCTCGTTCTTCACATCGGCGGACGCTGCGGACCCCATGGTGCCCCGCAGAGAAGCAAAGTCTCGCGTGTGCCGAACAGCTTGAGCCGCTTGAAACAAAAGGTGACGAAGCAGGCAGCCAGCACAGTCTGCAAAGTCCGACAGTGGCTACACAGACCCCTAGTGACAGTGGCAGGCGACTTGAGGCTTCCTGGACTTCGTCAGTTTTGGGCAGCTAGCACAGCCACTGGACACGGCCGACAGCTTTCAGACTGGCCAACTTCCCGTTGGCGTGCCAGTCGTCCTGTGATTCATGCCAGAAGATACTCAGGACAACTGCCATTGGCGGCGATTGGCGTTGAAGGAACTTTATCGCGAAAGCATTCCCGAACTCCGAGGACCCAAGGGCCTCGAAGAGAACCCCTTGGCCTGGCAGTGTGGCAACCCATGGTTTGGCCCAGCCCGAGGGCATTGGTTTTTGGAGGTCGCGTTCGTTGTTGCGTCTTCTGTTAAGCTTCGAGGGCTTTGGTTTTTGGAGGTCGCGTTCGTTGTTGCGTCTTCTGTTAAGCTTCGAGGGCTTTGGTTTTTGGAGGTCGCGTTCGTTGTTGCGTCTTCTGTTAAGCTTCGAGGGCTTTGGTTTTTGGAGGTCGCGTTCGTTGTTGCGTCTTCTGTTAAGCTTGAACTTTTCTGCCAGCACTGACGCACTTCCAGCAGGCGATTGCAGATTGTATGGTTCATGTCTTCACCCCAGAACCTAAACCCCAAAAGGAAGGGGCACGCGATCTGGTCCGAAGTCGGCCCACCAGTTCGCATCTCCTGGGGGGGGGGGGGGGGGGGGGGGTTGATGTGGATGTAGGTTTGAGGCGTTAAGGGCTTAGGGGTTCACGGTCTACGGAAACCTAGGCCTGGGCCACCCCCCCCCCCCCCCCCCCCCGCCCAAATATTGAACCAAACCCACAAATCGCACTAATCAGGTCGGGCATCCGCAAAGGCCTGGAGGGCCCGGTCCCAGAGGTCTTGGCGGCCGAGGGCCTTCGGGCACGAGGGTGGACATGCATTGTCCCTTGCTCTGGAACTCAAGCTGGGCTCAAGCAAACCACCCTGTCATGACAACTACTACCATCTATTCGATTAGATGCATTGTTCTACTGCGTCCTGGATGATGCCCCAGGATGCTACCGTCGAACGCTTCCCACAGCTCAAATCTGTAGCTTAGCCTTTAATCATTTTAGTCGAGCACAAACAGACCTGTGCTCAGGATTTCAGGCCCGAGGGGGGCTACCCCTTCCTTCATGCAGATACCCTAACCGCTTATAGATTTATAGCCCACTCGCACACCAGCTGGAATCCCACAATCTGGCGACACCAGTGGTTCCTTTTAAACCCCCTGCACAATGCTAAGCTGCTCGAATCAGCGCGGTGTAGCATCGCTGGTCGGGCAGGACCTTGGCCATGTCCATCTCCTGACCCGAAGCTCTGAAACATTCTGAAACTCTAAGAATGATCTGAGCAAAGTGCGCGATCCATGCGACTCTTGGCTTGCGAACCAACTGTGGGGCCCGGCTAAGAATCTGTGGCATCGGGTGCTGGGAGGTCCTAGAAGCGAAACAGAGCAGGGCAACGTTGTCTTGGGCCACTTCCCACCTCAGAATCCCGAACACACAGAAGCCTGGAGAAAAGGCACTACAAACCACAGAAGAAACCACCCTAGCCACTACACAACAGTCAGCGTCCAGCCTCGAAAAGGCTCAATGCCTCCTGAGCAAAAACTTGGACGGCGCGGGGATTTACTTCTTGAAGCGTTTCGAGCGTAGCGTGTTGGCGGGGAGCTGGGAAGGGAATGGTTTAGGGCTTGTAAGTTATTCGCCTCGGCTTCCTGCCGAGAAGCGTCTGGAACAAGCAGACCCGGATCGGGCCTCCTTCCCCCTAACCCAGCCCTTCCCCCATGCGACCCCCCCCCCCCCCCCCCCCCCTGGGGACCCGCCCCAATCCCTTGGAGGAGCTGCAACCGATGCCGTGAGGGTCCCGCTTGTCGGTGACTCCTACAGGCAGTGCCCTCAAACCCCCCCCCCACCCCCCCCCCCCACCCCACCCCCCACCCCCCCCCCCCCCACCCCCCCCCCACCCCCCCCCCCCCCCCCCCCCCCCCACCCCCCCCCCCCGTCACCCCCCCCCCGCGACCCCCCACCCGCTCTGCCCTCCTCCCTTTTTTTGCGAAACCCTCTTTCCTCCTTTCCTGTCCTGGGGCCGGCCCGGCTGCCGAGGCGGCGCGCGCAAGCGTTTACAATAAGCTTGGGAGGGGGGTGGGTGGTGGGGGGGAGGAGGAGGGGCTTTAAGGTTACAAGTGCAGTAAACCATCACGACACAACCCTCACTACAGTAAGCCCGCGACACGACCCTGGGACCCAAGCATACAACAAACAGCTTGGGGGGCCTAACTTTGCTTACGAGTAGGATACCTACCTTAAGTCCGAAGCCGTTTAGGGGCTTCGGCCAGGTGCCCAGTAGATCTGGCTTGAGCACTGTACAGGCAGTTGGTCCCCAACCAACAGCTGGCTGAGTGGGTGCTTTTTGGCCACCTGCACTGCTGGAACAATGCCTGCCTCTGCTAAGCCTCAAACATGAGACCCTAAACCCTATAGAGGTCCTGTACTGCGCCCTTCCTTCTCCGTCCTAAGCCCGGCAGGTCCTAGAAGTTTGTCTTGTCAAGGATGAGCACGCCGTTGCAATGCCACCCCTGTGAAACTTAAGACTTAATCCCGGCAGGTCCTAAAACATTCTAATCTCCAGCCCCTAAGACCCCAACCCAAAATCTTAATCTCAGCTCGCGCCCGGCCTCCCAATCGGCCACGCGCTCACAGCTTCCCAGTGCAGTTCGAAAGCCTCGGCTCACAGGGCTTAGAGCTCGGGCAGTTCCAGGAAACTGTGAACTACAACATGCTATCTTCATTGGGTATCGACGCTATGTGTAAGCTGGCGAGTGTCCCCAACAAACGACAAGGCAGCATCGTGACCTCGGTGGGCATGACTACGATGCACACTGGCCATTACCTCAACCCTAGCAGTCAAACCACCCTCAAGATCGGCACCACTTCAGGTGCATCTGGCGTGTAGGCTTGCGAGCACGATGGGGCAAAGCCCAAGAACTTGCTGCGCCAAGGAGCTGATGATGTCCGGGCACAAGACCTCACAGCAACAGTCAGAACAGGTAGTGTTGCAGGCGCAGAAGCATTGGCTTTTCAGCCCCAAGCCTGTTCTTCTGGGTTCTTCTCAGCTAAGGCCTTGGAACTTAGTGTGGGCTTAGCCACCCACTGTCTAAGATAACGGCTGGATCTGCCCCTGTGTGACTCCTTGGGCAAAGCTACATCCTGCTCACCCTCCGTCCATGACCCGCAAACGATGGAAGCCTCGTCAACCGCCCCATAAATCCGATGAGGGTGGTGTCGCTGCCCATTCGGCAGGGTTGAGCTCGAAATGCTGTTGGCGTCAACCCCTGAACCCAAACCTCCGAAGCATTGCGCAGGTCAAGGGATGAGACCGAGTGTCCCACTGTTGCATTGTCCGCAGCCTTTGTTGTCGGCTTCGTGAGGCTCAGTGCTCCGAAGAGTTGAGGTTGAGGGCCGGGAGCACGGATGCGTGTCCTACACAACTCCAGCTGGGGTTGCTCGAGATGCCAAAAGGCTTCTGTTAAAAGAAACGCTGCTACCCGCAGGCCTTATAGCTTAGAACTTTTCAACAACTCTCAGTTCAGAAAACCAACTGAGACACCCCTGCTCCTTTCCCTCCTACAGTCCTACAGTCGCGAATTTGGCGCTCAGAAGGATCACACTGAGGCAGGTTCATGGCCTGGAAACCTTAAAACCCCACATGACACCCTAAAGTCATCACTAAACTTCACTAAACCCTGAACCTTCAATCCTCAACATTGTTGCATCCAGGCGCGCCGCAACCAACCGAACCCATTTTAACCCGAAACCCTCAGCCAATAGACCCTCTCCAGCGCAGCCCCGGCGCAGGAGCCTCGCAGCCGCAGGGGTCGTCCCGCAGCCCAGGGCCAGGTTAAAGCAGAGAACGTTCGGAGGACTTCTGGGCGGCTGGGCGAAGTGGTGAGTGGAAGAAAAGGCGTGTCGGGCAAGGGTATTGGAATTTTAGGAGCTGAGGGCTTCGGGGTGTCGACCCGGTGGCTCTTCAATCGGTGTAGTAACCCACTTAACCGCGGGATCCAAAGGTGCTCAGTTTCTGGCGAGAGAAGCGAACCAATAGGAGTCCTGGTCCAAGTTCAGGGTCTCAACTACCCGGAGAATCAGACCGACAGAACATGAACCCCATCAGCCAAGGTATGCAAGGGCTCTGCCTCGGATTCGCCGGAAGCGCGTCCACCCGTCGAATCGAAGAAGCCCGAAGCCCACACCCCCTCCCCAACCGCCAACCCGTCTGCCTCAGAGCTTCACTTCTCTCTAGTCAAATTCCCTTATGATAGGCTGGCATGGGGGTCCGCAGGCTCCTTGATTTCATGCAAAACGGCGGGATGCTCTAGTCAGTCTTTAATCCCTGAGCCCCCTGGGTTCGCCCAGGCGCCGCTGTTGCTCCATGAAGGCCAACATCTGCACTGCCAAGGGCCAGTGGCTGCGCTTCCTGCATGCGGGGGGGAGACAAGGCCCGGCAAGGGTAAACGGGCGACACCACTGCTTGGCGCAGGAAACAAGTGACAGGACCTTGTGGCGTCAAGAAACGCAGCCCCCATTTTGAGCGTGCCAAGGCCTGCAGGCTCCAATCGCCGCCTTCGGAACACCATGCGGGGGGGGTTGAGGGCTGCGATCTCTAAGCAGTTGTGGGGAGCTGGGTCGGGGATCCATTCCGTCCGGATGTGTGTGTGTGTGTGTGTGTGTGTGTGTGTGTGTGTGTGTGTGTGTGTGTGTGTGTGTGTGTGTGTGTGTGTGTGTGTGTGTGTGTGTGTGTGTGTGTGTGTGTGTGTGTGTGGTGTGTGTGTGTGTGTGTGTGTGTGTGTGTGTGTGTGTGTGTGTGTGTGTGGTGTGTGTGTGTGTGTGTGTGTGTGTGTGTGTGTGTGTGTGTGTGTGTGTGGTGTGTGTGTGTGTGTGTGTGTGTGTGTGGTTGTGTGTGTGTGTGTGTGTGTGTTGTGTGGTGTGTGTGTGTGTGGTGTGTGTTGGTGTGTGTGTGTGTGTGTGTGTGTGTGTGTGTGTTGTGTGTGTGTGTGTGTGTGTGTGTGTGTGTGTGTGTGTGTGTTGTGTGTGTGTGTGTGTGTGTGTGTGTGTGTGTGTGTGTGTGTGTGTGTGTGTGTGTGTGTGGTGTGTGTGTGTGTGTGTGTGGTGTGTGTGTGTGTGTGTGTGTGTGTTGTGTGTGTGTGTGTGTTGTGCTTGTGTGTGTGTGTGTGTGTGTGTGTGGTGTGTGTGTGTGTTTGTGTGTGTGTGTGTGTTGTGTGTGTGTGTTGTGTGTTGTGTTGTGGTGTGTGTGTGTGTGTGTGTGTGTGTGTGTGTGTGTGTGTGTTGTGTGTTGTGTGTGTGTGTGTGTGTGTGTGTTGTGTGTTGTGTGTGTGTGTTGTGTGTTGTGTGTTGTGTGTGTGTGTGTGTGTGTGTGTGTGTGTGTGTGTGTGTGTGTGTGTGTGTGTGTGTGTGTGTGTGTGTGTGTGTGTGTGTGTGTGTGGTGTGTGTGGTGTGTGTGTGGTGTGTGTGGTGTGTGTGTGTGTGTGTGTGTGTGTGTGTGTGTGTGTGTGTGTGTGTGTGTGTGTGTGTGTGTGTGTGTGTGTGTGTGTGTGTGTGTGTGTGTGTGTGTGTGTGTGTGTGTGTGTGTGTGTGTGTGTGTGTGTGTGTGTGTGTGTGTGTGTGTGTGTGTGTGTGTGTGTGTGTGTGTGTGTGTGTGTGTGTGTGTGTGTGTGTGTGTGTGTGTGTGTGTGTGTGTGTGTGTGTGTGTGTCGCCCCGCCAATGTCTAGAATTGCTTGGTGAGCGTTGGAGATTCGCCTATGTACTCGCTAGCCTAACCTTCAGCACGTAGCGGCCACATCCTCAACTGCCTCTAACTAAGCAGGCTCCAGATCATTCGAGGGGCTCTGGCAGAGGCATTCGCCGAGCACGACCAAAACCGTGCCGGCAACCCTCAAAAACCGAGAAGCTGCCCAATAAGGCGGCCAGCTCTGAACCCCCTAATCTGCAAAGCGAACAGCAAGGAATCCGAACTTCCAAGTGCCCGGCCGAGCAGTGAAACGCGCTCGGGATCATGCCGCCCTGGGCCATGGCCTCCAGCACCTCTTGGTTTTCGAGGGTCTAGGGTTTAGGATGTAGGGTTTAGGAGTCGGTCCACTCTTTGACTCTGACTGCACCTCCCTTCGCTGCTGGACGTGTGGCACTCGAGAGCACTGGCGCGGGATGAGGACCCATGTACAATCGAGGACTGCTGCGCCTGCCATGACGTCTGTGCACGACCGTCTCGTGCCAGCGCTGCCAAGGCCTGCAAAGGCCAAGGTCGAGAGCTTGATGAGCTCGGCTGGGCTTTGGTGTATTGCAACATTTTGGCTCCTGGAAGGGCCATGGTATCGAAACAGGCTTCTGAAATCTTCTGAAGTTTGACCCCCAGCACCCAGTGCAGCTGCAGATCGAAGACCCACAGAAAAGCTTCTGTTCAATCTTCGGGGACAGGCTTTTTCAACTCGAACTTCAACACCTACTTGCAGCTGAAGCCCCCTTTCCCCCATGTTTTTGCCGACCGGGCATTCTTTGCCATGCTGCCAGACCCCCCAAAAAAGAGTCTTGATCCCCGGGGCTCCTGGCTGGCCCAAAACGATAGTTGATGAAGCACGAAGAAGCGCGCGCTTCTTTTCCTCTGCCCCTACCCACCCCGACAACAGGCCTTCTGCCCCCGGCCCATCCCAAGGCCCCCTAAGGTAGACATTGTGTTCTTCAAGTTTTGCGTTTCCAAGGCCTGTCCTTATCCTGTCCCTCCCCAGCCGAGGCACGATGGAAACCCTCGCCACCCAAGGTACTGCGGGGGAGGGGCGAGCCCTCAACGCAGGGTGTGTCCAACAAGCATCGACGCTATATGCTATATGCATCTACAACGTCATACTCTAGATGCCATCGACACTATACATAGATGCCGCGGGCCAATGTCCAAAGGACGGAGATTAATCCGACGAATGCCGTTGCGGCCAAGTAACATTTCAATCGCCCGCGGTGACGCTTGAAACTGCAGATCCGTAAGACGAATCCGACACAAGGAAGGACTCAAATCCAGAAACCTGACATGTAGGCTCTAAGCCTCAGACCGTCAAACTCCACATGTTGAATTCCAGGATACACAGCGGCATGAATTCCGGGAGCCCAATTCCTGGGCCTGGGCGCAGGTAAGCTGCGCAAGGCCTCCCCTGAATGGTCTGCGGTCCCCCAGCAGGCACATTAGCCCATTGTCCTGCTGTCATGTGCCCTGCACCTGGACACGTTGGCCTCAAGGGAGGAGGTGCCGTGTCGGACTGCAGTTCCCCGCGTCAGGACTCCGGCTTCTCGACCTGCCCTCACACCCGGCCAGCGGTGTGCGGGGGAATGCTGGTTGGTGCAGCAACTCCCCGTGGGTTGGGCTTCGGATGTCAGCAGAGCTGTCGGTACACACAAGCATGTCCACATGCACTTGCAGTCTGATGAAGACAGCAAGTCCAACAGACAACCAAGTTGTCGGGAGTCATTCGCTTCAGGCAACGTAAGCAACCATCACCCTTTTTGGGCAGCAGGTCAAGCAACCACTACCCTAAACCCTAAAATCCAATTGAATGGAAAAGCCTCCTGAAGTGTAAGAGAGAGTAACAGGCCGCGCAGCAAGCTTCCCTCGGACTTCAAGCCCCAAAGTAGGTAATGTTATATAAAAGAGGCAAACGGTACAAACAAGTACGGCAGATTGCAAGAACGTAGAGCCCCAAGGTACTGGGGCGTACAGTGGAATAGAGATCGCCTGGGAACATTCCTGTGATTCCCGTCCGCTGTTTTATCGGCTGTTCGAGTTTACCTTGAGGGTTGAGGGTTGATTCAGGGATCGTGGCGGCCCCCACCAGGAGTTTTTTGGGGGGATGTCGAGCTTTGGTCTTCTCGGCGATTTGGAGGTAAGGAGATTTGAGCTGTGCACAGAAGCGAGAAACTTTGCCTGCTTGAACCCTCAACCTCAAGTAAGTACTGTTGACCCCGAGAGTGGAAAGCCAGCAGAGTGGCCTTTGTGAGGATCCTTGGCGCGACGTCGCCGCCTTTTTGCAGCACAGGCGCCAGAACCTCATTGGGTTTAAGTTTTTTGTTCGGCTGCCGCATGGCTGCGCGAAGTCAACGCGCAAGCTGGCTGACTGACTTCGATTCAGCAGCACCTACTTTCACACACTACTTCAATGGTCGCGCTATTGCGATGGCTCACAACTTTAATTGTTAGTGTTTTCGTGGAAGTTTTTCAGGTCATGGATTGTGAAAGTGAGGATAGTAGTGAAGTAGTGCCCCACATACGCTCCGCAGCTCCTCGTGACCCTCGCAACCCTGCATTTTCGTGCTCAGCTCAACATGCAAACAGGAGCAAAGCAGCACTTGGTTCGGTTTGTTCAGTTCACCTTGGTTCTTTCTTGTAAAACTCAAGTCGGAGCCTGGGCTCCTTTTGGGTCACCTATTGAACAAGCTTGTCAGGCACGTTGAAGGACCCGCAGCGCTCACTGATGTATCACGTCGCGATACCTTTCATGCCGCACCTCAGTCACCACTGGGTCCGGAAGTATATTCAAGCACCAGAACCCCTTTCAGCCCTGAGCCCTGAGACCTATAAACCCTCACCCGTTGACCCCGAAACGCATGAAGCCGAAACTGGCCGAAACCCCCCAGTGGTGCCCTAAACCTTTGGATCGGCCTGGGCTACCGCCTCCTGGCTCCCCTGGCGGCCGAGCGCACGGAGGGCCACCTCGAGGCAAGGAGAGCTGGGGCTCAATCACCCAAGTGGAGGCCCGGGGCTTGGGACAGGTACCCCCAAAGCTTTGCGTGCAGCCATCCCGCCCCCATCAAAGACAACCGAACGTGGAAAAATGCGATCGCAGCGACTAATTACATACAATGCTTGCACCCGAGACATCCAAACATTCACGCCTCACCCCGACACTACGCAGATGAGGGCCCTTTGTTGGCTGGGATTCACGGTCCGCCTCTGGCCGCAAGGCCATGGGGAGGCCCGCTGCCCCGCAGCCCAGGCATGACGACCGCCGGACCGAGGGGGCGAAGGTGAAGGGGGGGCGGGGGGGAAGCTGACAAAGCGCTTAGGGTTTAAGGATTTGGAGTCGGAGTGGCTTCGGGTTGGGTTTCAGTTCGAGGCTCGAGGGGTGCCAGTGAAAAACTCAAAAGAGTTCCGCCTTCGCAGGCTGTTGAAGTCTTTGAAGTCTTTTGAAATTGACAACCATGAGCCTTCAGCAGGGGCTCTTCATGGCTCTTCTGAGCTTGTAAACATGCCAAGCGCCTGCGCTGGCTTGAGCCAACAAGACGAGCTGCATGCCCAAGACCGAAGACACACCAAAAAGCTCCGGGAGTTCCAGGCAGCAGCCTTGAACTCTTGTGCTCACCGTGGTACGGGCTTTTGGTGTTCGGTTGTGAGGTTTGGGATGATGTGGGATTCTATTGGGGGTTTACCCAAACACTGCTTCAGAGTTTTGGGTCTAGGGTCAGCCCCACAATGGCTGTAGGAATCCCTAGCAAGTCGCCTTGTCCAGCCAAGCCCAGCCTGAAGAGCTTCAACGGCAGAGCATCTTCTTCCTGGTAGCCACCTCGCAAGGCAAAGCCACAAAGCAGCGAAAAGGGATCAGATTGAGAAGCCGTGTCACTAACCTTGCCAGACTCAAGCCAGATGGCCTGCCATGCACGCCGCCGCACTCCACGCGGCGCTCGCAGCGACGGCGCTGGGCACAGCTACAGCCTCCTGTATGGGCGCCAAAACCTCCCAAAAAAAATGGGTCTAGGGTTTAGGGTTTAGGGCTTAGGGTTTAGGATCCCAACACCCAAAGAGGCCAAAGCCTCGGTTTGGGAGTTGGCGGTGCAGACTTGGAGCCCTCTGAAGCTTCGAGCCCTCCCCCGAAAGGCCCCCTACTAAGACCCCCCCCCTGCGTCAGACCCCCAGAGTAAGGCGGGAGTCCTTGAGCATGTTGGGCAGCATGGGCGTGTCCATCCTTGGGCAGGGTTTAGTGTAGCTGCGTAGCTCCCAAAGGCTTCACTGTTCCGGTGTGTGAAACGAGTCTGAGGCAGAACCTTCCGTCCAAGCAGCCAAGAGCGCCCGGATGCTGGGAATCCTTGTTTTGGTGTTCTTTTGGTGTTCGCGTCGGATTGCTCGGTTCTGCGTTCGGCCGCCTTCTTGAGGGCAGCTCTCGAAACCTGTTGAAACAAAGGCTCTGGCTCTGACGGCATGGCCGCTGAGATCCGAGAGTCCAAGAGGTGCAGCTCCGCGAGGGTGCTCCACACGCTGCACACGAGGAGGCGCCGAGGGGGGTCCAGGACACCGAGGGCTTGATGATCGTTGGGGATCAAGATGCTTGTTAAGAAAAAGGGGGAAACAAGGGGAAGCTGAGATGGGTTCGGCATTGCAAGCCTCTCCAAATTGAGCTGCACTCGGGCTTTTGGCCCGAAGTGGGAACATGTGCTCATCAAGCTCAAAACCATTGTGGCTCTGAAAATATGCCACTCCGCTGCGACGGAGGCGCCAACAAGCGTGCTTGTTCAACACATGTGAAAAGGCAAATTGGCCGGTAAGCCAAGGGCTGTACAATACTGGGCGGCTCACTCACTGTGGAGCGGCTGCCAAAATGTCTGGCGAACATCCGTCAGAGAACTTCTTGAAGTTGTCCTTAAACAACGAAGCGAGCTTCACTGCGGACTTCTCAAACTCTTCCTGGTTGGACCAGGTCTTGTTGGGCATCAGGATCTTGCTATCCACACCCGCGCAGGTCTTGGGCACCTGCAGGTTGAAACGCGGGAAGGTCTCGAACTCTGCAGCGGCCAGGTTTCCTTCATGGATGGCATCGATGATGGCTCGGGTATCCTTCAGGCTCATGCGGTGGCCGACACCATAGGAACCCCCAGTCCAGCCGGTGTTGATGAGCCAAGCATTCACGTTGTGCTGCGACATCTTCTCTGCCAGGAGCTCCGCATACTTGGCCGGGTGCCACACCATGAAGGGAGCCCCGAAGCATGCGGAGAAGGTGGCAGTGGGCTCGGTCACGCCCATCTCCGTGCCAGCAACCTTGGCCGTGTAGCCGGAGATGAAATGGTACATGGCCTGGGCTTTTGTCAACTTCGACACCGGAGGCAGCACGCCAAAGGCATCGCAGGTCAGCATGATGATGTTCTTGGGATGCCCAGCAACAGCCGGTATCTGCACATTGGGAATGTACTCGAGCGGGTAGGAGACTCGAGTGTTCTCCGTGATGCTCGTGTCATTGTAGTCCACCTCACCCGTGCGCGGGTCGAAGACCACGTTCTCCAGCAAGGCACCGAAGCGAATGGCGTCCCAGATCTCTGGCTCCTTCTCCCTTGTGAGGCCAATGGCCTTTGCGTAGCAGCCTCCCTCGATGTTGAAGATGCCTTTGTCCGTCCAGGCATGCTCATCGTCACCGATCAGCAAACGGTTTTCGTCAGCAGAGAGTGTGGTCTTCCCAGTGCCACTCAAGCCGAAGAAGACCGTCACGTCGCCCTTGTCCTTGCCCGCGTTTGCGCTAGCGTGCATGCTGACAATGCCTTGCTTCGGCAGGAGGTAGTTCATGATGGTGAAGACTCCCTTCTTCATCTCTCCTGCATACTGCGTACCAAGGATGACCACCTCCTTGGATGCGAAGTTCAGGGTCACCGAGGTTCCCGAGGTCATACCGTCCGTGGCACGGTTGCACGGGAAAGCCCCAGCGTTGTAGATCGTGTAGTCTGGCTGTCCGAAGTTAGCCAGCTCCTCCTCTGTGGGCCGGATCAGCATGTTGTGCATAAAGAGCGCGTGGTAGGCACGGCTGGTGATGACACGGATCTTGTACCGATACTCCGGGTCCCATCCCGCAAAGCCATCCATGACGTAGAGCCTCTCTCGTGTGTTGAGGTAGTCGATGGCACGCTCACGGTTGATCTTGAAGGTGGCCTCTGAAACTGGGATGTTCACTGCTCCCCACCACACGTCATCCTGGGTTCCTGGCTCCTGCACCACACGCTTGTCCAAAGGGGACCGCCCCGTCTTCGCTCCGGAGAAAGCCGCCAGAGCACCAGTGGAGAGGATTGCAGAGCCCTTCTCGTACCGCAGTGCCTCGTCGTAGAGGGTGCCTGGGCGGGCGTTGTGCTGCACGGCTTGAGTGTGAATTCCAAGGTCGTGCAGCATGTCAATGTCGGCATCCCCGTGCGCATGGTAGTCAGCTGGCACTGCGGGGATCTGCTGGACACTGACCGCACTGACACTGAGGGCGTCGGCAATGACCTGACGAACTTTCGTCTGATCCCTGGCAAGACGACACGTGTGCAGCTGCCTCAGCTGGCCCAGTGCCCGGGCCACTCGGACGACTGGGCGGAGCATTGACTTGCTGGCCATGGCAGGATATTGCGAGGGAAACACGGGGGAACACGGCTTGTAAGAACAACGGCTGCCAGCGATCTCTCTTTTTCCGGGCTCAAGGCACAGTGGGCAGACCTGGTGCCGACATGATGAGACGCCTGACGCCACAGAAGCAACAGGTGCACATCAAAGATTGAACTTCGGCTGAGAATCGTCTCCATGAGAACGCTCGAAGTTGTCCGCGTGAGGGCCTGGACAGGGGTGTCGGACTGTGGCTCCCTCCCTCTCCCACCCCCGCCCCCACCCGCGAAATCTCTTTGCACCTTGAACTCTTCAGCCCTGCACCCCAACCCTGAATCCGAATCCTCATGTTCCCGCCCTCTCGACCCCCCTCCCTCGACCTCCTCCTCCTATGAGTCTCAGGGGTGCTCGAGCCTTAGACCATGCTCAAGACCCGAACCTGCTGAATCTGTCCTCCATCTCACCGAGAAGTGCCACGGACTACCTTCAAGGTGGTCCACGCTGATGGGGGTCAGAGCCTAACCCAACCCAGTGACCAGCTCTTGAAAAGATCGTCCTGTTTTTCGGTCATCCTACCTGACACAAGAGCTATTAGCAGCTAAGGCGCAGTTATTGAAACAGGATCTTCAAGGGGACCATCATTTGGAGTGTATGTCGCATTGGCACCCAGGGGCGGCTTCCGCTTCGGCGTTAAGAGTTTGCTTGCTTGGGTTTTGGGGTGGTTTTTTGGATCTAGGGTGCAGGATGCTTCGGTATTTGCAGAGGACAGCATACACTAGCAAGTACTCCAGGGCTCAACCCTTATCCAAGCTCGAAGACCCCTCCCAAAACATCGGCCTAGAACCCGACATCCCGGACCCGCACCCGCCATGATGCACCATTCCAGCAGAACCCGGCGCGTTTTCTAAGGTTGGGGGTGCCCAGGGAGCGCGTGGTCATGTCATCATGTGAATCTCAGCTCTCTTACTGCTCTGCAGAATCTCGAAGCCACGAGTGCATGACTCCCTTCTGGTACAACCGGCTTAAGATTCAGCACTACTGTAGAATGGCCTCTGCAAAGGGCCCGTGCTGTTCCGCTAAGGAGCTGATGATACCGGGGAATAGTAAGACCTCATAGCAACAGTCAAAACAATCGATGGGAAGTCAAGAAGTCAGGCCCCGCTTGTCTTGTATGCCGAAAAGTCTTGCGCCAGAAGCGTGCTTGCTTACTCGAATTTAGCATCATTCTTCAACGCGCCCCATGGATGCGGGCGAGCACCCCACTGCTGATAGCCACTCGGTCACCTATAGTGGCAAATCATCTTCAAGAACCCGCAGCACGTACTCCTCTATCATATTGCACCAAACCCCACACTCGAGAGACCCCACCTCCACCCACAAGGCCATGAGAGGGCCCGCTGCCCCGCAGCCCCAGGCATGGCCCACGGAACCAAGGTGGCGAAAGGGGGAGGGAGAGGGGCGGGAGGGGGCAGGAGGGGGCAAGGAAGCTGACAAGGGACTGCGAAACATTGATATCACGTAGTCGGAGGCCCAGATCCTAAGCTGCCGAGGCTCCTTGAGCTCGAGGGCCACTGACAAACTCACAAGTTCTGCCGGTTTGTACTTCGCCTTAGGAGTGTGGAGGGCATCGGTTGAGGTCTTCTAGGAGGGTGGGAGGGGTGATCATGGGGTTCGAGGGAGTAGCCACGCTCTCAAGAATCCCCAACCCCAAGCCCCCAGACTAACCCTGAGTCAGGCGGGGTGTGGAAGCGCCACCTCATTGTTATACTGGAACAAGGCCTGTCGCGGAACCTCGGATTCAGAGGTGTATACGCTTGTAGGGTGCACTGGCAACTTGCATGGTACGCCACACATTGCTTCTCCTCTCAAATTAGAAGGCGAGGTGCTAGTTGCGCCTTTCGGAACCCTGGCTCCAACCCTCCGGGTTGCAGGAAATTTTGTTTTCGCAACACAAATCCGACTGGCCCTGAATTCCAGCCCAGGATTTCATGGGCCCCGCACCGTGGCATCCCTCTGCACCTCAGCTAGCGAAGTGGTCCCTGAAATGTCCGTGAGTACATGCTGCTTGTGGTTCCTCTGGGGGCCTCTGCTACTAGCATATTCCTTGACAGCTGGACATGCCAAGATGGGCCTCTCATGTAGAAGGATCCCCAAGTGCTGAAGTCGGACGGGAACCCTAATCAACCAAGTGAACCCGAAGTGGGCCCCACTAAGCCGCCTTCCGGCAGCGGCCTACGCCCCTCAACATCGCCAAGCTGTGCTTTGGCTAGAAGCTCCCTTGTTTAAAACGCTTGGCCAAGCACTGAGAACTGTTTCTGGACGGGGCACCAGCAGTCGAACCACGTCCATGTGGCAGCGCTGGATGGCCTCGGGGCTCGGGAACACTTCGCTTCCCGTGAGATCTTGGGGAAGCAGCGCGGGGTGCCAGCAGCTCTGATCTATAGCCTCCGTTTCTGCAACTGCCCAGGGCAGAACCCGCAAGCCCCTACGAGAAGCCCCGAGGTCTCTAAACCTCGCCAAAGCGCGTCCCGGAGAGGGGACGAGTTGCCCTGGAGCATGAGCCGCCTCGAATCCTCGGCTTTCACAGGAGTGAAAGGTCTTAGGTTTGAGCTTGTGAGGCTTTGGGGTTCGAGTGCTCCTCTACCTCGTTCAAGAAGCTACAATGAGCATCGGGGCGTACAGTATGTAAGTGATACTAGATCACCGCCCCGATCGTCCATTGGGGTTGAGACATTCGGCGGCGTGAGCCCCTCAAACCCTCCCTCTGTGTCTGCCCTCCTAGCCTTTTCTGCCAAACTCACATCTTGGGTTCGCGCGTACTCCGCACCGGCTTCGATGAGCACCTGCGCTCTGGCAAGTTGGGGTTATCCTGGGGGGTTCAGCCGGCGCGCTTGCAAGCGCTTTGGGACCAACAGACGGTTGGACAAGTTGTTTGGAGGCTTTTAGCCATAAAAACTGCAAGGTTTGGGGCTTTAGGGCTATTATGGGGCATCCCTAACCCACCTAAGGCCCTAAGTGCTTTTGTCCAACCAGGAGCTCTCTACACCCTCTAACCCCGAAGCCTATGGCGATGCTCAGGGTGTACGAGGTGTACCTCCACCACCGCTGCATGGCCCATCCGAGCTGCCACGTGGAGCGGCGTGAGGCCATGATCAGGCTTGTCCTGGAACACGGGCTTAAGGCGAATTAGAGCTGGGTTTAGGGCTGGGCTTGAGATCAGGGCTTAGGAATGCCTCGAAAGGTTCAGGGAGGATCCCGTATGACCTCGGAAGGGTACCTTGGCTCGGGCTTCAAGGTTAAACCCATCCTCCCACCCGGGTACATGCGTGCAACCTCTGTTCGGAACGCTGAGCCCCAAAACTCGTGGTTTTTGCTGACTGGGTCAAAAGCCCCAACTCCTAAACTCCACGTGCCACAATGAAAAGCCAGAGACCTGAGGTCGACCCAGTCACCCCATCATGAACCCAATAATAAACCGCATCTCTGGGACACCGGCCTGCCACGGCGCCGTTGCTTCAAGGTCATACAGGGCATTGTGCTCCAAGAGAAGAGAGACCTGGCCCGACCGCATTGACCAGGACAAGGATGGCACCGCCAATACAAGCTACAGGCCCGAACTCGCCGAGTCAACCCTCAGCGCCAAACCCTCACGTCGGAGGGGCTCAAACTCAAAGCCTCAACCCTCAACCCTCAACTTCACACCAGTCTCTCCTCTTCCTCTTCCTCTTCCTCTTCCTCTTCCTCTTCCTCTTCCTCTTCCTCTTCCTCTTCCTCTTCCTCTTCCTCTTCCTCTTCCTCTTCCTCTTCCTCTTCCTCTTCCTCTTCCTCTTCCTCTTCCTCTTCCTCTTCCTTCCTCTTCCTCTTCCTCTTCCTCTTCCTCTTCCTCTTCCTCTTCCTCTTCCTCTTCCTCTTCCTCTTCCTCTTCCTCTTCCTCTTCCTCTTCCTCGTCCTCTTCCTCTTCCTCTTCCTCTTCCTCTTCCTCTTCCTCTTCCTCTTCCTCTTCCTCTTCCTCTTCCTCTTCCTCTTCCTCTTCCTCTTCCTCTTCCTCTTCCTCTTCCTCCTCTTCCTCTTCTTCTTCTTATTCTTCTTCTTCTTCTTCGTCTTCTTCGTCGTCTTCTGCGCACTGAAGGGTCTCTTCCTTCCTTCCTTTCTTCCTTCCTTCCTTCCTTCGCACTTAGCCCCCCCGCAGGGGGACCGCCCAGAGGGCATGCTCCATGGGGATCCAGTCGGGTGAGACATGTTTAGCCCGGGAGAACGCCTGCTTCATGACGAAACACAATCTTGACTGCAAGTGCGTAGGCCACTCCCGAGTTACTCGTCCGCTTCCACTGTTGGGGATACCCCACGTTGGGTGCCCCCCTCTGTGACCAGTGGGTATGAGGTTGTTTTGTTTCCCCATGTCCCGGGCAGCAATACGGGCCTCCCAGGTGGTTAAAGTGTGCATCACGTCACGAGTTCTACAGGTTCATGTAGGGGTAACGACAGTCCACAGCATGCAACGGTTTAGGGTCTCTCTCTCTCTGTCTCTGCCTGTCTCTCGCTCTCTGCCCTGCCATCCCCGAGGGGTCTCGCCATGCCGAGCTTGAGTTGTTTCCTGGGAGCCCCGGCAATGGGCGAGACTCCTGCAAAGCTTGCCTGGAGCGGTCAATGCGTTCCGGGCATGATCTGGCTTTATGTAAAGTTCCAGGGCATTAGGGCTTCCGGGTTTGGGGTGGCCATTCTTCCAAGTTTAGGATTCTTTTGGGATTCACGGCTCTTGGGGCACGCTACACTTGGGGCCTTGGGGCTCCGTCAGATTGTGAAGCTCGGGTTTCGGGTTTGCTTAAACCCGAAATCGAATCACCACACGTGAGCAGTCAAAGCATAAATGCCCCATCCCTACAGGCATGTGACGATTCAAAAGCCTGGCCAACCCCTCACCCTTAGTGCCTGCCACAAGGAGGTGGCGCCTGCCACCTCCCCAAAGCGACTACCAGCCTAGGAACAAGGCGATTGGGAGGGGGGGGGGGGGGGGT